GCAGGTTTATTAGAGGGAGACGGTCATATTTCTCTGCCGTCTTTAGGTGTTACAACGTTAAATAGAGTGTTAAATCCTAGAATAATATTTACTTCACATATTAATAATTTAGGTATGTATGCGTTTATTCAGTCAGAATTAGGTGACATAGGACGTATCCAAGCTTCAGGTAATAACGCTATTCGTTATATTATAGGGGATATAAAAGGTATTATGTTTCTTATTAATTTAATGCACGGTAAACTTAGAACACCTAAAAATATAAGGTTTAATGGTTTAATTAAATTTATGAATGCTAAATATTCTTTGGATACACAAGAAAGTTTATTAGATAACTCAAATTTCCTTAATAATAGTTGATTTACAGGTTTTACGGAGTCTGACGGACATTTTGGACTTTAATATCTAGAAAGAAAACCTAAATCAGATACTACTGAGTTTTTAGAAACAGAAGTAAAAAAAATAAGATCGGATAAACCGAAACCTGAGTATAGAGTTAGAACTACTAACCTTAAAGGTAATATTACCCTTCATGATTCCTGCATTCATGTGGATGAGCTAAGCCGACATCGAGGTGCCAAACTAACTAACGGCAACTAACTGTTTCCTTGTTAGTGTACATCGTTCCCTGCCGCAGGCCTTCGGACATGTGGACAACACTGGTATGATTGTATGTCAACCTCATGATCTGGAGCACCACTAGAGTGCTTCGATGGACTGTCAAGCTGGTGGACTATGTAAGAACGTTTTGTCAGTAAGACCAAAGAGTCGGAGATCAAGAGAACAAGATTCAAGAGGGATTGGAAAGCGACCCACGACCTAGGCCGTATACCAAGGAAGAGATGAGCCCGCTGTGTTCTTGAATAAGCTTTGTGAGGTCCAGTCTGGTCATTCTTCGTAAGACGCGAATGTTGAAGTTGATAACATACTAGCAATTGTTGAAGAGAAGAATGTGAACACTCTTGAGTTGCACTAACGTTTGACCGAACTGTTCAAAGTAGTGATTGACGGGCCTCGACCATGTGCAAACGTAAGAGCATAAAAAGAGTAAGGGGACGCGTGACGGCAAAGAGGCCGTAGGGCGCCAAGAGCCCCACCGGTACGCGACAATGGTAGAGCTTCAGCTCGTCATGCCTCCGGCATCGCTACAAGTCTCTCTTTCTCGACAAGACCCTCACTTTAAATTGCTAGCCCCCAGCTGGCTTCAATGCTGCGCGCTCCTACTGCAGCTCCCCACCATGGTGGTCATATTCGACCTGGAAGACGACGCGCCCTCATACCTTGCCCCGCACGCGTCCGGCTTGCTCAACGTCAAGCCGCTGCACCACTCGCTCGCCACGACGGCAGCCCAGAGTGAGCAGAGCGTGCCTGGGCTAGAAGGAGAAGAGAGACCGAACCCCAACATCAATGGATTCAGCGCTGCCCTGAGCTGTTATCCGTGAGCCTGAACCTCTGACCAAGGACTTGGCTCCGCGCCCTGATGCATGCTAACCACAGTAACGACACAGTATAGTTCGACAGCTTGCCGGCCAGCTCGACCTCAACACGTTGCACCATTTGTCGCGAACCTGCAGGCAGTTCCGTGCCAACCTGCTCGAGTACCGCTGTCAGCTAAGGAAGCATACACTGCACTGCTGCAACGAAGACGGTGACGACGGACATGGCGGTACTCATGCGAACAACAACAAGCTGGGCTCGACGCGCCAGTTCACGAGCGGACGCGTTGGAAAATGCGCCCGGGACATGGTGGGCGAGTGCCAGCGCTGTGCCAGCGTCGTGTGCCGGGTATGATCTCTCTCCATACGAGGAGGAAGCGGGAGAAGTACAAGCACTGACAATGGGTAGAACTGCACCATGAAGCCCCCGCCCACACCTACCTTACGGGCTCGCTATCGCCGCATCTGCCGGACATGCACCAAAGCGCCCCTTGGCCTTCTCATGGCCTACCAGAAGCCGCGCTCGTCGTCGTCCGGCTCTCCCTCGCCGCCAGGCTCCCCGAATCCTCGTCCTGTCTTCTTTGACAATGACAAGCCTCGCGCCTTCACCGCGCCAGCCTTTGAGCGAACACCATGCAACTGTGATAATGTCGTCTGGCTTTGCGCGCCATGCGGCAAGGACCTGCGCAACGCCGATACCATGTATGTCCGCGGCTGGAGCTGGCGCACGCGGTATAGCCACTACCTGGGTGGCGTTGGCACAGGGGCCGGCGAGGGAAACGAGGGTGTCGAGTGCGGCAGAGGCTCTGCCTGTCTAGGCGCGAAGAGGGTCGAGCACGAGACGTGCGAGCAAGATATCCTCGATGCGCTAGAGACTGCTGCTCATTCCCCAGGCTCACCCGACCGCTGGAGGGGGACCAGCTATCTCGCCCAAGAAATCGAGGGCATCGGCGGCGTGCTAAAGGTCAAGCATAAGAAACAGGTGCGCGTTGGCGAATGCGTCAAGCTGTACCAAGACGAGCGGGAGAAGTCGATACAGCATCTCGAACGCGAGGCCACTGGGAAGCTCAGGAGCTGGTGCTCTTGGTGTGAGAGGGTGGTACTTGGGGAAAAGGACAATGTGGAGACTGCCGGTGGGCGACCAACCTCAAGTGGTTCGAGCTCGGCTTCTTCCACCCAGTCCAGTCCTTCATACAGGTATTGAGGTTCAATTTTTTTGGTGCGACTGATGGCCTCCCATTGAGGTAGTTCTTCTTATTCATACATTAGCAATAGCCAATGTTTTCCGTTTGGCTTGAGCGCGCCAATTCCCACATCACAAAGCTGCTTATCTCACCCCCTCGGCCAGATCATGCCCCTCATGAGTTTGGTGCACCCGCCCGTTCTCCCTCAATCTAGGTGAAAACGTGCAGACCTCGATATCCTTTGTGAATACTTCTCTAATTGCTCCTTTTTACGCTTAGTCTTCTGTTGGTACAAGACCTCAGTATCACTTTTCACGCGGTATGCTTTTCGCCACTAAAGACAACTGACTCAATACTTGACCATAGGAAAGAAGCCCAATCCACGGGACATGCACTACAGCATGTACAAGTACAAATACATACTCTAGATCTACTTCACCCGCACCACAGTCAACGTAAAAGCGCTACTACCGGTATCCGTCCTCCTGGCGCCAACTTCTTGATGAAGCCTGTCTTCTCTCCTTATTCTGCGAAAAGGTGGAGGAATGAATGCCAGCTTCATCGGTATAGTCAGAACACCCTAAAGCCAGAGTATTGGAATCCCAGTCTTCCTACATACCGGAAGTGCCTGTTCCTTGAGTTTCTTAGCCACCTGTAAACCCAGGCTCTCGGATGGTCGACCAAGCGCGGGTGACAAGAAGTAGTTTTGGAGGTCGATGACTGCCAGCGCAGTCTTGGTAGGATCAATCACGACACAAGACTCCTGAGTCTGCAATGTCATGCGTGGGTAGACTTTGGGAGCATCGGGCGTCAGGTGGTGTGTAATGTCATAGCCTTCAGTCTCGGAGTACAACCAAAAGTTTTCTGGACCTCCAATGACCTTGAGATTGTCCGTCATGGGGGCTCGAAGGATGTTGCGTATACGCTTCTTAGCTTTGGTGAACGGATCTCGGAAAACGCTGAGATGCCTGAAGAACATGAAAATTGAGCATTTAGAGAAGGTAAGAAAGGCGATCAGGGCAACTTTTGCTCGGTCTGAGGTTACTTATACATGGGGAAGTGGGGTAACAGCGAACGGGTACGGAAGCAAATACGGATCAACTGAGACACAGCATACGCACCCTTGGAAACATGCCGCGCCTTCTACAAACAGATATGGCGGCCGAGAGAGCGTATCTCGCGTCCCCCCTAATCACGTGCTTCACTTTCACTTTCGCGTATGATATGCAAGGTCTATCCCATTCAACATGGGTTACCCAGCAACCAGGCACTGTTTGTAAGCTTTGCCGCCCTCCGCCATGTGCACTGATATAAATAATCACCCCAGGCGTTTCTTATTCTTTCGACCTACAGCTGCCACCTCCTATCATCAACGGGTATCAACAAATGCACAAGATCATGAGGTATGCGTCGCGCACCTCTCCTAAATTGCAGTGCATGGACTAACTAAGATAGCGAGCCCGCTGGTATTCCAGACAGCAGTGTGCAGCCTAGTATGCACCCGCAAGGTTTCCGTCTGCTCGATCTACCTGGAGGTGAGGCTGGCCTACCCATAATTTGAAACATACCTAATCCCAAGATTTAGAACTGCGCAACAAGATCTACAGCTCTTGCACCGAGAATCACGTCGTTGATCTGGACAAAACGTCCTTGAAAAGATATACCTTCCTCGGCCTCACTCAAACCTGCTCCCAGATTCGAACCGAGTTCCGTCAGTTATACATGGCCCAGACTTCTATACACACTTGCATGGCGTGGCATTCCAATGAAGTACACTTCTGGCCCCCGAAACGCTTCATCCAAACCTTCTATGCCCTAGCGGAGCCGCAGGTCATGGAAACCTATCGTGGTGACCTCAAACTCACGGTATATCGGGTTTACGGCGGCCAATTAATCCATGTGAACAATGCGATTCAGTTAATCATAGTGGCCCCATGTATGCAACTCAGATTTGCTTACGACGAAACATTTGCGTTGGTATATCACGCTATCAACCAGCTCAACGACCAGCTCAATGCTACAGCTGACCAAAAAAACACCGTTTGGCGAAACATTGTCGCCACCTCGATTCGATCTATCCGCATCTTATTTTTCAGACTCGAAACTGCACTGATCTTTGAGACGGATGAAAAGACAGCACGTGAAGCTCAAGCATGGTGGGCCGAGGGGGAGCTTCCTATAATGGATTCTCTCAGGGTCTTATTCATTTGGGAGAGCATAGGCAGTAGTAGTCAAAGTGTATCCTTGAAACGGCATGCATTCGAGTAACTCTCTAGATCAATATTCCTGTCACCAAAGGATGGTTGATCGGCACACAAAGCTCGAATATTGAACACAGATAAGACCACCCCACCAGGACTTTATACGGTAGTTGCTAGGGTACATTATATTGGATTATTATATGTAATGTCAAGGTATGGTTTTTTCCACACGTAGACTTTGATCTCAATATTGCATGTAAGTTTTCGTGTTGTAGCCATCAAGTCCATTGCTGGTGTATTCAGTTAGACTCTCATGCTTGATACAGGCCCCTGAATTAAGTTGCTAGAGTGATTTTTAATAGATTCTTGGATGTAATGACAGGGCATTGTCGTCGCTACGCATAGAGTTTGAGATTAACTTTGAATAGACTTTTAGGTACTTTAGCCACTAAGTCTTCTATTGGCCTATCCAATCGGGTTCTCCATCCTCACTAATGTCCTTCACATGTTTCATCCAAGTCATTTGCACCATGTCGTCGCTTAGTCACAGTACAAACAGGTCTGGCCAGGAACGATGGAATGTCGGACACACATGTATCTGAGCCGTTTGGCAGACTCGTAATCGAATCTTGCACCTATCAGCGTAGTTGACCAACGATATGATGCTAAGCAAATTAAACATAAGCGCAAGGAACAATGGTTGGTTTGACTCGCCTGCGGAGGATGGTCCATGCTATGTCTTTTGATCATGAGAGCAACACGTCACAGGCTATGGAACGTCCTCTAGAAAAGCGTCAGAAAGAGAAAGTGAACACACAATGTTTGACTGATTAGCCAGAGCTATTAGTGCTGTCACAAATTTCCTACTAGTACAGCTCGAGTCCCTCCGTCGATGAGTGAAATGGGAACTACCGCTGAGCCGTGGCACAAGCTGCTGCGTCTCACCTTCACATAGTAAACGAAATAGCATCTGGGCCCTAATATTGCCTACATAAAGTATCAAGTCGTTCAACCAAACAACAAAACTTTGAAGGTTCTTTAGCCTAGTTAGTTTACCTTCGCTCCCTGGTGGTTCGATTCCAGCGGTGAGCAGCGGAACAGAGCACATGTTCGAAGCCGTATACTCACCTTTCTTTTTGTTTTCTTTATCTTTTTGCTACCCATGGTTCCACGTGTGCTTACATAACACACAGTCCGTTTGCCTTCACCTACGCACCCACAATACCTTTTCCGACGCACAAAATTCTCTGCAGCTTGGATTACCCTCACTTTAACCTTTCTTTTTATCCCGCAAGCTCACACCGGCTCTCGATATGGCTCCTTTTATGATCGCAAGTGAGGGCAGCATAGCGTCCCGCTCGTCAGATGAGCTTGAGGTTCTCCATTCTAAGGCACAGCTTCACTTTCGCATCAAACTTGAGAAAGTCAAGAAACGAAATCCCTGCCCCGACATTACCATCTACGAGTTCTACTTCGATCGCGAGAAATCGTCCGTCAAGAACGTACCGCACGACCTACAGCTCGAATTTTACTTCGCCAACTACAATGCATTCACTGAGAGTGGGTTCCAGCCTCAGCGCGACAGGAATTTCGATATTGTGAGAGCGATTTGGTACTACAACCTTGACCACAGGCATTCCTTCTCCCGCCACTTCCAGGGCATCCGTTACAACATCATCCTAATGGTATTTCTGTGGGCCGGCAGGATTTTGGAAAGCGGCACAGTTGACGGCATTTGCGACGATGAGTGTGGCACGTTTTGGTAGATCTAGTGACACAAGTACAGTTTTGCAGATTCGCTAACTTGACTTAGGTATACGTATATCTGTGCCTGGATGGAATCTCTTGACAACCCGACCGAATTCACAAAGCGCGATGCCTTCATTAATGTATGGGTAAAGTCCAAGTACGACCTCATTACCTTCCCACGCACCTACCTACAACGCATCAAGAAACTCGTTGGTACAATTAAGGAAATGGTTACGTCGACGAAATTTCCGCCCTCCGAATTCATCGCACGCTGCGAAGACCATTCAATAGACGAGGCATTGTTTGCAAAAGAGGGTTTCATACTGGCCTTGAAGTGGGCGTTGACAAAGGAAGGTGATGCTCAACCGGAGGAGATGAGTTCCAAAGTAGACGCTCAGGCATACGAAGATTTGCCTCCCATTCGGCGTCGGTACACACCCGAAGACGTTGCCATTGTCGAAGAATCGCTCACCGAACCTGAACGACGTACTCTTTGCGATGTCCCTTGGAACAGCGCCCACGTTAAGGCTTTATTGGTAGATGTTGATATGTCCGCGCGCGGTTCAGGCATTGAGATGGATGGCCGCGTACACTGGATGGATATGGACAAAGCGGAGGAGCTACTGAAGAGAGTTACGGTCGATGATATCACGAAGATGTGTGCTACATTAGGCGTTGCTGACTACGGTAACAACGGCGATGTTATGGACATGGACATGACGTAGTGAGAGCTGGTGGTATGGCGTTGAATGTCGAAGGTTTCTCTACTTCACTTTAGCTCAAACGGCACATCCTTCCTTAGCACCACAATCTCAAAGCTTGTCTGGCATCCCCATACACCCGCTCCTTGCGTACTCCTTCTGACCTCTTGATAACCTCTCTTCCGCCAATAATCCCCGTTAAGACATTCGGCCGCGAGAATCCAAAGGTTGAGATTGCCCTGCGCACGCTCTTCATTTTCACCCACTCGCTTCTGGAAACCCAGCTTCGACTGCTCGATGTTGATGAGGCGCTGCTCCAGAAACTGAAGTAGTTGCACAGCCAACCCGCGTCGCGCATATTTTGCGCTCCCGTCTACGCACACGGCCTTCATTTCCCAGCCTCTTTCAGTCTCTGCTCCTTCCTTAGTCCATCCGCCTTTCCAGGGTACAGCGGTAGCACAAGCGACAACCTTCTTTCCGGCCCATTTACCATCCACGGATCTATTGCGTTCGAGTCCCTGCTTGCCCTCTTCAGGCGTTGTATCGTCGTCAAAGATCAAGGCGACGACGCTCTTCTCACCCAGCATTTGGTAGTATGACTCAAGGGTGGCAAAACGCAAGTCCGTACAGTCCCATTTGACTGGGTCGTGCTTATGGGATCGCAGGAATGCATCGTTGACTAGGCGGGTAATTGATGCTGTTATAATTGCGTCTGCCCTGAGCTCGGAGGGTGTAAAGAGCGTCGGAGCGGAAAGAGGTGGTGTCGTCATTCCGTGAAAGATGGATTACGAGAGTATAAAAAAAATCCTGGGAGTTGTTGTACGTGACAACTTGCGTCGGCGTCGGAGTTAGCTCTTCTCCATCAGGACTAGTTACGCCCTGCGAGACGGTGTAATGCGCGTTTTTCTCTCGAAACGTGATACTAGCTCATCATAAAATTTCGACTAATTCATCTCAGGCATTGAAGTGAATTATCTAGCGAGTGAAGATCGCGTTCATGTGAAGGAAGTTCGGTAACCTTGGAAGGCTCGTCACTGTCACGCGACTGAGTACGACACCCGACATTGCTGCTTCTGAGTCCAACACACATGGTAGCTAAGCACCATTTTTCCAGCTAGCAATCAGCACACGGTTACCCAATCACGCTTTAGGCGTCGTTCCTGCCATGATTACAAAAGCTCCTCTTACTAAGCTCCGAATGTGGACGCCTGCACATGGTTCAGCCAGCCTAATTATTTCATGTGCCGATGTTGAGTCAACGCGAATTCACAATGCTAATCGACGCTTGCCTGCTGAGATTAAGGAACGATAAAATCCTATGCCACTGGAAAATTCTCTCCTATGGGAGTAAATGTTTGCTTACTTTCTCCGGTGCAGTTCTAAAGGAATGCCTGCAATGTTTGCTCGAACGCCAGTACGCAAGGATGACGTTGGCTTGTTTTCAAAAGAGCTTGATGCAAAATTGCTAGGCCCCTAGAAATTGTGTTTTTAAGACGCATAAGTGGAACCATGCTTGCTTACTGGTTGTTAGATCAGGTTTTTAGGCAATAACACTTCTACATGATAATTTTATGGGCCACAAGGCCTTTCAGATTATAATGGAGCATATGGGTACACCTGAGAATCCCGTGACGACCGTTAGAGTTCTGTCGGTTCCGTCCAGATAAAGGACTGTTTGAAGAATGAGCGTCATGGCCGAACCCTCAAACGCTTGATTACGACGATTCATAAGTTTGACATGGCCTCGTATCTAGGCCATATAACACTCGAAACAGTCCTTTCTAAGTGTATAAGCATCTGCGAAGAACTTACGAGGTGCTCGATCTGACGATGAGAGTTTTCTCAAATCCGCTATCGAACTTCTCGAACCACTTACTCCAAGCAATGAGTTGGTATCAAAGCAACGCGAAGACTTAGCCTTCAGAGGAAATGCGCTATCCATCAGCTTTTGCGACGTTTTACAGCGATTGGAGCAGAGACGTATAGGAGATTTAGATGCAACTTTGAAAAGTGAATGGGGTTTTCCTGACCTAGATAGGTCGCGATATTCAGCTTCCTCGTACCTGAGTGTGATAAAAATATGTGCCAAACAGTACTGCATGATTAGTACGAAGGCTGCCGCGTTGTTCCCTGCCACCTGGCATCAGGTCACGCTAGATGTAAGGAGCTCCACCAAGCTGTATCCTTCACCATAGCCGCCCTCACCTTAATGAAAGCGTAGATAGGCCCGATTTTGCCAATCATAGCATTGCAACGATGCTCTGGGGCGAGACGCTTCTGTTTCTTTCGTACCCTACAGGAACGTGGCTTCATTCGCATAATAGAAGTCAGCACTAGATCGGTAAGACCGGTACCATTGCCAGCTTCAAAAAGGCCCAAGCTCGGGCGAAGTACGCCATGTCAGCAGTTCCGCCTTCACGAGACATGAATACCAGGGGCTATGCCCGAGGTGTACTACATTCTTATTGATACTTCGGAACAACAGAAAAGCAGATCGTTGCAGCTGTCATATCTCTCGCTATTGTTACATCATAGCTACCGTGGGGAACGTAACTACCATGTCTTCCTCTATTACCTTTGAAGATGCTATCAAACGAGCTGTTACACCCGGCCAGAACCGGTTGCTAGCAGGCGTGGCTCTTGGTGCTGCAGAGTCTCGTCGGACAGGTTAGTCCGCCTCTAAAGCTCCCAGTCCTGTTGCCGCTGAGGCAATCCTACAGAGGAGACAGCAGAACCGCAAGATTACCTCGCCGCATACGGAAATCTGAAGCTGGACCCCGCTTCGTCTCCTATAACGACCGAGACGGTTATGTGGGTTGCCTCGTGCACGAAGCTGGTGACAGCGGTTGCTGCCTTGCAATGTGTTGAGCGTGGCATGTTCGCGCTCGATAACTCGGCCGATATAGATCGGCTGCTCCCCGAGTGGACTAAGCAGGAGATATTGACTGGGTTCACCGACGATGGTAGTCCAGTTTTGCAGCCCGTCAAAGACAGGATCACGTTAAGGCAGCTGCTCACTCATACAAGTGGCGTTGGATACGAATTTGCGGATCCCAGGCTGCTGAAATGGAGGAGTGCCCGCGGCGAAGGACCGCCTACCATGAAGACACCAAGCACTGAGTGTTACAAGACTCCGCTAGTTTTCGAGCCTGGCAGCGGCTTTGCGTACGGTGGTGGCGTCGATCTCGCGGGGTTGATGATAGCTAGGGCGAACCAATGTACGCTGGAAGCATACATGCGCCGGAATGTATTCGATATCCTGGGCATGGACGATACATCTTTCTACGTCGGGTACAACAACATTGGCGAACGCTTGATGCCAATGACAACGCGGGTCACGCCCGAGGAACTAATTGACGGGTACGCCCCAGACGCCCAGCTCAAGCAATTCCTAGACCCACCAGACGAGTCTGGGGGCGCTGGCCTCTTTGCAAGCACAGAAGACTACCTCGAGCTCCTAAAGTCACTTCTTCGCAACGACGCACGGCTGCTCAAGCCAGAAAGCATCGATGTCCTCTTCGCGACTTGCCTCTCTCCTTCTGCCCAGGACGCACTCAACAACCTCCTCTCGATTCCGGTCATCGCAGGCATGATGATGCCCGGTGAGCCGCCTATAGGCACGCCAGGTGCGAAGACATGGTCGTATGGGGTCGGTGGCCTTGTGGCGCTGGAGGATGGTGAAGAAGGGTTGAGAGCTGGCTGGATGCGATGGGCCGGTGCGGCCAATACGACGTGGTGGATGGATAGAGTGGGCGGGACCTGCGGCTTCTTCGCAACGCAGTTATTCCCAACTGGCGAAGGTAAACATGCGTTCCTAAACAAGATGTTTCACAAGGAGATGGTTGCGAGGTTTGGAGAGGTCGGCGCGTGAGTGTGGAGTAGCATCAGCCATCAGGACTTTCTGACTATCCTCCAAACATGTCAATCATCAAATCGATCAAGTGTCTCGGACACATTGAGCAATTTCGACGGGTACAACATCCAACTTGCCTTTGGACAGACGGCCACTTGATGGCATGGTGATGCCCGGGTGATGCTTATCAAGATGCTGACAAGCTGCCTTAGTGCCATCTTAGATCCACAGGTCAACGGGTAGGCAAGGCTTAATTTCTCACCCAGCACTTTACCCAATCGCTACATTCGCCGACTGCCTTTGACTCGCCTGGGTCCACGTACTAATCATGCATTCTTACTCAAGGATTACGACCCGTATGGCACGCCTGGGGACAGATGCAGGAGATGGGCAGCCGAGGTGGTGCAGTGCCTGTATCCTCGGCCCTTTGGAGATGGATGCGCTACAATCGAGCATGACGCGTCGAGATAAGACGGAAATACTACGACACTAGGTCGCGCCGTTACCCGATAGCTCAACCGCTTCACGACGTCAGCTACCGTTCCCGATAGCCGTGCATACGCATTTTTCTTCCCTCGAGCGCACATGCACCTGCGCACCATCGTCCAATTGAGATACTGTGCAGGAAACAAAGAGCTGCAAGCATGCAGGAGGAAGACTATGAGATCCTTCGCAGCGAAGCGAACGCGAGCCCCGAGAGATACGCAGAATGGGACAGGCAGCGCCAATTCCGCGAACAATATGCCGAGCGACACAAGAACGAACCGACCTACGAGGAGCGTATAAAGCAGGAGAAACTTGAAGGCGAGGGGCGCTCAAGGGGCGAGCCAGGGCAAAATGCACCGCAGCCAGCCGCTGTACCGCTACCTACCAACCAGGAGGAAGAGGTCGTACCGCTGTCGCGTCATGGCAGCGTCTCGTCAGCCTCTACGTCGTCTTCGGCGAGTTCGCACAGTGCTCGACTTGAGGAAATCCGCACAGTCCGCTCTACACCCCGAGATCGCCGGTCTACTGTTGGGTCACGGACATCGGACGGGAACATTTTACAACTCCATCCTACTGAGCGCAACCCAGAGGCACTACGTCGTATCGAAACCCACCGAAGTCAACACAAAACTACAGTCGGCGCCCCTGAAGTTGAGTCTCGTCTCACGAGAACCCTCACACGTCGCAAGACTGAGAGACCGCTCCCTAGTCTGGGCGCTGGCAAGCCGTTCCCACCGCCTCTGCCAGAACGTGAGGAGTATGTCGTCGAGTTTGAAGGCGCGGATGACCCGCTACACCCGCAGAATTGGACCATGAACAAGAAGCTGGGCATAGGAGCGATACTGGCGTTTGATGCTCTGTCTGCCACCATGGGTAGCAGCATCTTCTCGAGCGCGACCAGAGTCGTATCTCACCAGTTTGGAGTTGCACCTGTAGTTGGCACATTGGGAACGAGTTTGTTCGTCTTTGGATACGCGTTTGGGCCTTTAGTAAGCACTATATAATACATGGCAGCACCGCGAGCTAATATTTCACAGATGTGGGCCCCCTTCTCCGAGCTCTACGGTCGCAAACCACCCCTCATCATCGCCGCCTTTGGTTTCGCCATATTCAGTATCGCTGTCGCTGTGGCCAAGGACCTCCAAACGATCCTCATCTGCCGCTTCTTCGCAGGCCTCTTCGGCTCCTCACCGCTTGCCATTGTCGCCGCAGTCTTTGCAGACATGTTTAATAACAGATTGCGCGGCCTTGCTGTCGCTGTCTTCTCAGTAACCGTCTTCATGGGACCACTATTAGCTCCTTTTATTGGTGGTTTCATAACCGATAGCTACTTGGGCTGGCGATGGACCGAGTACATCAGCGGTATTATGGGATTCATAGCTTTCGGCCTGCTCATGCTGTTTATGGAGGAGTCGTATCCGCCGGTTGTGCTGATCAACAAGGCGAGTGAGTTGAGGAGACGCACAAAAAATTGGGGAATACACGCCAAGCAGGAGGAAATCGAAGTCGATTTCAAAGAGTTGATTGTAAGGAATGTGAGCCGTCCAATGAGGATTCTCTTCACCGAGCCAATTGTGCTGCTCATTACGATTTATATGAGCTTTATTTGTATGTCTATATGTTCGACTCTCCAGAACCAAACTGACATGATCATAGATGGTCTTCTGTATCTCTTCCTAACAGCATACGCGCTCGTATTCCAGGGCGTATATGGCTGGAGCGGCGGTGTCGCTGGTCTCGCCTATTTTGGCATGGTTGGTGGCGAAATGATCGCTTTTGTTGTTGTCGTACTCGACAACCCGCGATATGCCAGGAAATTGGCAGCGAACAACAATATTCCGGTTCCTGAGTGGCGGCTGCCAATCAGTATGGTTGGTGGCGTGCTGTTTGCTAGTACGTGATTACCCACCACTGATTAACTTTACTAACTGGATAACAGCCGGTCTTTTTTGGTTTGGCTGGACGGGCTACACGGGCAACATCCACTGGATCGTTCCCGTTCTCTCTGGTGTCTTCACTGGCTTCGGCATATTTTCCATTTTCCTCTCGCTCCTCAACTACATTGTCGACGCATACCTCATGTTCGCCGCCTCTGCAATTGCCGCCAACACTTTCATGCGATCCATCTTCGGAGGCGTGTTCCCTCTGTTTGCCACATTTATGGTACGTTGAACATTCCGAGACCACTACTCTCTGAGGATGAGTTGAGAGTATAGTCGCTGACTAAACGCAGTTTAACGGGATGGGGATTGAGTGGGCTTCTACCCTATTGGGATGCGTAGCTGTCGTGCTGGTGCCGATGCCGGTTGTGTTTTACGTCTTTGGCAAAAGGATTCGCGGCAAGTCCAAGTTTGCACCTGCGCCGGACATTGCTCAAGATAAGAGAAGGGATGAGGAGGCGAGACTGGGTGGCGATAATGTGGCAGGAGATGTGGGTAGTGGTGAAAGCACTGATGGTGCACTGCAAAAGGAGAAGACCAAAGACCAGTAGAGGACTGGGCAGTCAAGTAGAATTCTATATATTTAATCACGAGCTGTTCAACTACCACTTTGAAGTTTCTAGTGCAATGAGGGATGGTCACGTGTCGAACACGGGAGGTTATGCCGAGTGCGGAGAAATCCTCGAATAGGAATTTGGCCCGCCCACTTCGGACGACTGTACTCCATGGCGGCCCCGCAACACCACGGGGTGACGCAACTACACCGAGATTTCCACCGCGGGGTAGGATTATTCCGAATCTTTCAAGCTACATTAGTTGAAATTTTACTCGCCAATCTTTCTTGATCGTCCTCAACCATCTTTCACGCGTCAAACTCCCCGGCAGCTTTTTTGTGCATAATCACCGCGTTTTCCAACATACTCTCATCCCAATTTCCTCAACCAAAATCTTCCACATTCATAAAATCGTCAAAAGACTACCGTCAAGATGTCAATGTCCATTGAAGAATGCCAGACACCCCGCCCGGGCTTTCCTCGCCCGGTGCCAGACACACCAACGAACGTCATGGAGCAGTTCAGCATGAAAGGCAAAGTCATTGTAGTCACAGGCGCCGCAGAGGGAATAGGAGGCGCAGTCGCAGACGCCATGGCTGAGGCAGGAGGGCACGTAGCCCTCTGGTACAACTCCAACGAAGCCGCCATCCACAGAGGCAAGACACTAGCCCAAGCGCACAACGTCAAAACGCAAGCCTACAAAGTAAACATCACCAACGCGGAAGCCGTGCAAGCCACCATCAAGCAAGTTGTTGCAGACTTTGGCCAAATCGACGTTTTTGTTGCAAACGCAGGGACTGGCGACTCTCAACCGCTCCTCGACCAGACCCTAGACTCGTACCACAACCTAATGAAAGTCAACGTGGACGGGCCCGTTTTCTGCGCAAAGTACGCCGGTGAAGTCTTCAAGCAACAAGGCTTTGGCAACTTGATCCTCACATCCAGCATCTCCGCGCACATTGTCAACGTGCCCGTCGACCAGCCCATCTACAACGGGACCAAGGCGTTTGTCTCGCACCTAGGAAAGTCGCTTGCGCGTGAGTGGCGCGAGTTTGCGCGCGTCAATATTGTCTCGCCTGGGTTTTTCAACACCAAGATGGGGGCTGGGCCGCAGGTGATTACTGAGGGGTTGAGGATGATTCCGCTTGGGAGGCAGGGCGATGTCAAGGAGATCAAGGGCTTGTTTTTGTATTTGGCGAGTAATGCGTCGACTTATGTGACGGGGAGTGATGTGCTTGTTGATGGAGGGTATGTTTTGCCGTAAAGGATGCGTGTAGGTGGAATAGTCAGGTACAGGAGAAAACGTAGAATGAATTTAGATTACGAGATAACATGCAAAGATTACGACCTTTAAAGGTACTACTTGAATATACTCGCTCGACTAGTGCTATATTTCATTTCAGCCTTTCAGCGTTTTGGTCGATCCACTAATTATGAAGTGCTCGATATCGCTAAGACTTGGATTAAGAGTAGACGAGTTTGGTACAAGGTGACCATGATAGGCTTTCTAGAACGTCAATTAGCGACTCCTCGAGCTTTCTTCTTTCCCCCAGGTGACTGACCTTCGGAGTATATCAGACTTCCTACTACCGTCGCTCGCAAGCTACGAGGCAAAACCCCTGTATCAAACGTGATTCGTCCGTTGTCTTTTTGAATCCCTATCATCTTCGAACGTCGCAGACGAGAGAGAATGCTTTTCCTTTACATGTATGAAGTGCTCCTCGCCGGCTTTCCAGGTATACTTCGCCCCCGGGTGATCAGCTGACAGACGTGAATTTCCGGGAATCCCTGTTAGTGTCTCTCGAATTGTACCTCCCTTCACCTCATAGTCATCCCAAAAGCTACCTCTCTTCCTCAACTCAGGAACAAGCAGCTCCACAATATCATCAAACGTGCCTGGCATGGTTGCGAACTTGAAGTTGAATCCATCCACATCCGCAACTTCTGCCCAGCGCTCCAACTCGTCAGCGACAGTCTTAACGCTCCCAATTATCTTAACCCCCATACCGCCAACGATGAGATAGTCGGCTATCGTCTTCTTGTTCCATTTCAAATTCTCGCTTCCAGGCACTGTAGATGCCCAGTTGTTCACCAACGTCTGCACCGCCGGCTCGTCGCCGAAACGAACATCCTGCTCATCGTCATACTTGTTCAAGTCGTATCCTGAGAATCCGCCAAATAGCGCTAGCGCGCCTTCGCGATTGCCGTACTTGACCAGCTCCTGGAATTTCGCCTGCGCGGCTTCAACCGTTTCTGCGACAATCACTAGTACGGCAGCAATCAACTTCAAGGATCTCCCATCGCGGCCTTGCTCTGTTGCCTGCTTTCGGATATCGTCTACGGATTTCCGCACGAGCTCAGGAGTGTGACCGCCTAGGAAAATAGCTTCGGCATGCTTGGCTGCGAATGCTTTTCCGGCTTTGGAAGTTCCAGCCTGGAAGATGAATGGTGTTCGTTGAGGAGATGGCTCTGTGATATGAGGGCCAGGGACGTTGAAGTATTTGCCTTTGTGATTTATCTTGCGCACACGTGTTGGGTCTGCGTAGGGCGACCCAGGGCCTCCGGGAAGAAGAACTGCATCGTCGCGCCATGACCCTTCCCATAGTTTATACGTTACGTCGAGGTATCTATGCCCAAGGTCAGTCATGTATTCGTACGAGGGAGGCAGGGAAATTGAGTTCAGGGCTAGAGAGTGTAAATCGCTGTCCTTCCGCCTAAAACCATCCAATCGCAGGGTGGAAATCATACTCATCTGCAATCCTGTATCTCTCATCATGCTCAACTTGCGTTTCCAGCCCTAGATTCTTCGCCGCAGATTCCAAATAAGACGTAACGACATTCCAAGCCACCCGACCATTAGTTAAATGATCAAGTGTAGAGAATCTTCGCGCCAACATGTATGGCTGTTCATAGGTAGTCGAGGACGTGACGCCGAACCCGATGCTTTCTGTTGCCGCAGCCATGGCTGAAATGCTCAGAAGTGGGTCATTGCTAGGGAATCTAGGAAAATATGGTAAGCATTTTGCGACTTCATAGACCGAATCTGAATTGCTAGGTAGAACTCACTGCGCTGCAGCTTCTACGGCTGGATCAAGACTACCTTTGTACACATCGTATCCTGCGAGAACATCTGCAAAGAAAATGCAATGGAACTTTGCTGCTTCAAGCTTCTTTGCCAAGTTCACCCAATGCTTGATATCCTTGTATTTTCTTCCTTGATCGCCGGGATAATTAAACAGTCCCGGGTTAAGATGTGCAGGTGTCTGATGCACGAAAGCGTTTAATACCAACTTCTTTTTAGCTGGCGGGTTGGCCATTGGGAAAGCGCAAAGAGAATATTGCAAATATTTTAGGGATTGAACATAGGATCCAAAAACTTCTTTAGAATAATTTTGAGTAGTCTGAGGCGGTCCTCGCATACTTGTTGCGCTCCGAACTCGCATTAGCGCTAGTCCGGAAATAATTATTGCGCCATAACGTAGCGTAATAGCGATACAACTACAAGATGCTTGCCTGATCCAATAAAGCCAGAGAACGAGTCATTATGTATTGCTGCTATCATGGTGTTGACTCATGGTCGACGGATAATATTTCCCTTTCGTCGTGGTTTCCAGTCAGGTACAGTGATTCAACGATATAATACGCTTAAGAGGATTTTCAAAGCGCCTACGCCAATACGCTTCTCCCGAGGGCAACTTCAAAACACGCGGAGTCGTACCGTTTCGCAGACCCATTTTAACGGGGCAACCAGTCTTATATTGAAGGATGGGAGCCTATGCGCCATCCTCCCGTCAATCGCATAGTGAGAGTTGCTAATCATACGCTTACATCCAAGGATCGAACCAGGGTGCCGGAATTCGGAGACTTGATACATGTCGTGCTTTCGATAGTCGAGAAAATCTCCACCATCTAAAAGGCGATAGTTTCGGTTCGGTGATCCGCGCAAAGTAAGCATCGGTGATACGCTGCTTCTTCACTACCATCGCCTTAGCCCGTGCCACTTCGTCTAAATCCGAGAGGAAGGAACAACAGGGCCAGGGCTAGCACCTCTGTGGGTCCATCTCGCGTCAACTTCCCGGAATCTAGACCGAATTCATGCAGAAATGTAGGCACGCAATAACTGAGTGGAATTGGAACATAGAGAAGCCTTGAGATACAGTGATGTCCATATAATCCCATCACCCATTCGCATTTCGTCGACCAACAATACGAGACTCAACTCTTCCAAATCATCACTGCCTCTCTTATCACAATGGAGGACGGTACAGCACCGCCGAAGGCGACTCGAAAATGGTACCACTGGTATTCACCAGATGACACACCTGAAGAACGGCGGCTTCTCTTGAAACTCGACATTCTCATTATTCCTATCGCGCTGCTGTCTTTTTGGATCAAGAACATGGACTATGCCAACATCAGTAAGATTTAATCCCGCTCTTCTGTACTAGTATTAGCTAACTTGAGTAGACAATGCATACGTTTCCGGAATGAAAGAAGAACTGCACTTTTTCGGCAATGAACTTGTTCAATTCCAGACAGTCTTCACCATCGCTTCCGTTGTTGGACAATTGCCGTTCGCGTTCCTGTTTCCAAAAGTGCCAATGTACATCCTGGTCCCGAGCATGGAGCTTATCTGGGGAGTCTTCAATCTCCTACAGTTCAAAAGCCAGAGCTTTGGCGAAGAACTCGCTTACCGTTTCATGGTTGGAATCTTTGAGGTACGAAGAAGGAATATTGTCTCGTCATAGCTGTTGCTGGTGCTAACCGATGATAGAGTGCGTTCTTTCCAGGTGTTCAATACGTCCTTGGCTCATGGTACCTGGGGCATGAGATCGCTCGCCGCGGAGCCTTCTTCTACGTTGGACAAACTGTCGGCGCTCTATCCACCGGCTTACTCACTGGCTCTATTGCGACCACTTTCGCTGGACGTCACGGTCTATCGGGATGGCGATGGATGTACATCTTCACGTCAGTGATTACATTCCCGATTGCGATAATGGGATACTTCCTTTGGCCAGGAACTCCTCTTAAGCCAAATAAGCTTTTCCTGACTGATAGCGACGTTGCACTTGCCCGCAAGCGTCTTGAACGTCATGGCCATATGGATAGCAATGATGTGGAGAACCCTAGCTTGAACTGGACGCAGATCAAGAAAACGTTCCGGGGTTGGAGAGTATGGGTTCTCACAATCTGGGATATCACATTCTGGCTTTCCGGCCTTCATGTTTCAGGTGGAACATACCTCTTATGGATAAAGAGTTTGAAAAGGTACGGTGTGAAAGACATTAATAACCTTGGCTCTACTGCCCCAGGGGTGGGCATTTTGTATCTTCTTGTATTCTGCTTTGCCTCGGACATGTTTCTGGGTCGTCCATTGGCGCTCTCCATCTCCTATGCATGGAACATGATCGGCGTGCTTATCTTGGTCATCTGGAGCGTCCCAGAGTCTGCGAAGTGGTTCGCCTACAACACCATTTATGGAGCGACGGTCATCTCCCCTGTTTTTCACGGCTGGGCGAACGACATCCTGAAACATAACAGTGCAGAGCGAGCATTTGTGCTTGTATTCATGAACTCCGTGGCTCAGGGTATGTCGGCCTGGCTTCCGCTGCTAGTTTTCCCGACCGTGGAAGCACCTAGGTTTAGAAAGGGCTTTCCGTTCACGCTAGCGGTTTCGTTCTTGTTCTTGGGGATGACGCAGGTGGTGAGACACCTTCATAAACGGCAAGAGTACGTCGCCTCCTTCTAGAAGACTTCAATTTCTAACTCTTTGTAGGAGACTGCACGGACTCGCAGGTAAAGCGGTTGTCGAATCCTTGGAGAAGGCCGCCGAAGAAACTTCGGAGGGGAAATCGAAAGCCCCGGTAGTGACATCTTCAGTGCTGTAGTGACCATGTCTTTTAACTTAGATAGCTTTTAGAAGGAGTCAGAGCATGAGCAGGGAAGGGGTCGCTTCAGGCACGCCTTTGAAGAAGTCGAGCAGGGTAAAAAAGTTGAGATGTGTGCTCCTTTGAGCTTCTCGTCGATACACATAACAATATGAAAGATCCACTAGCAGTTTTGTGTTGAGATTGCGCTGTTTCCGTGATGGCTTATATCTGTATATGCATAGGCCTACTTGCTTGGGTCAAAGATAAGAGAGATGTAGTTGTAACACTTGAGGTCTCTTTTAACACCGCGCTAACTAATATATCATTTCCACAATACCTCACAAGAAGACGAACCGAACATCCTAGAAGTTAGTCCAGTTTTACTTTCTTATCGCCTATTGCCTCTATCAACTCTTTCGCATCCATTTCGGCAGTACCTTCTGGCCGAGAAAGTATAGTTTCTGCCAGAGCACGACCAGTCTCTATAGGGCTTAGACTGACCTCACGGTCAAGCTCCCAGAAGCCCCAAAACAGGGATAGTATAGCGAAGAGACAGAGTAACATCATCCCCGAAGCGAGCCATAGGGTGATTAACTCGGCGTTGTAGGCTAACTGGGCCACAGTCTGCTTCCAGATAGGGTATTCGCTGGACTTATTTCCTTGGAATTACAGCCATCAATCAGTCCCAGTAGAAAACTCATTCGAAGGAACTTACCGGTTGTAGAATACCAAGCTATCCAGAACATAACCTCGTGTAGATTCCATATAAGATCCTCGGTAGCATTTTTCCATCTGCGCGGGCACGAATCATTCTCCCATTTATCAAATTCGGCGTCCCAGTACACATTCACAAGCGTTCCCAACGCTGGCTCCACGTCGTAGCCTCCATCTTCGGATCTTCCGGTCGAGTACCCAAAAGACATTAGGTAGTAGTACCCGAAGTACTCCAAAGCCGCTAGTGGCCCAGCCGGTGTATTGTCCTGAGCTGGTAGATCACCAGGAGAAGAGACGTTCGACAACATCTGAGGCCAGTGGGTACGATTCAGTCGGAGGTTGTTATGTTGGCTTACGACATCATACTTGACTACGGCAGTGCGGAAAGTGCGCTTTTCTACGTTGATGGAGCTGTTGCATTTGTTGTCCGCATACGACATGTACGAATGTGTCATTAGCAGTACCGGGCTTCCAGTCGCATCTAAGCTTCGGTTGAATGAAATACTGAATAGTGTGGCATTCGCGTTCTCTGGCGCCGTCAAATCTACCCAGTTGACCTCGGAAGATACATGTTCAACATATATGCCAGCAGCTGCTATCGAACCTGAACAATTACCATCGCTGCATCCCACGTATGTCGTTGTGGATCGATTCATGTGCCAATCTTGGAGTAGCCGGTCCAGTTTTCCGTCTCCGAGTAGCTTCGCTGGTGCAGTATTGTCGACTCGTCCAACCCATCCGTCGGTTATAATTTTATTCAGGCCCATGAGAGTTTCCTCGTATTCATAGGTAAAGTTTTTAAGTACTGGCGTGATCGATCGTTGCAACAGTGGTCCATCTGCTACACTCACGGCGCTTGTGACCAGAAAGACGAATATGGCCCAGTAGGTCCATGCCTTGTGATGAAAAAGTGCTCGGAGAGTATCTATGATTCCGGTGCCTTTCCCCTTGCTCCAGATGTAATGCAGATCTGCGAGAGTTGTGCCCTTTCGCAGGGTTCGCCACCACACAATAGTAATGCCTTCAGCACAAACGTACTTTTGGATAGTACCAGATATGTTTGAAAGCAGCGAAAGCAGTACGGCTGGTTGAACGGATGGAGCGTAGGGAATCCATGAAGCGACGGGCCGTCCCCTTGCGGTGTAGACGATGGCGATGCAGCCGACAATACAGGACAAGGATAATACAACAAGGCAAAAGGCAAGAATTGGAGTAGGCTGGCTGGAGTGTTGCCTTGGCTGCATATCAGGTAGGGACGATTTCTTAGGCGTCATGGTAGCCTGTTTAGGCATGTCGCAGTGTAGCAATTTCCGGACTCCACCTCGGTCTGTCAAGATGAATGAGTAGGTGCGAGCCACTATCTACACCGGGTCCACGCCAATTTAAACATACACGAGAGCTGAAGAACATCATGCACGCTATGGTTGCTTTTCCTAGCCTTGCTGCTCGGACAGACGTGGTGGGCAGCCACAGCGCTTATCGGACCTATTACATAACAGCAAAAGCACATCACCGGAAGGCGCCTTTACAGGCATGTTTTCTTCTACCTAGGGTCAGGCTGTAAAAGACTGCTGCACTTAATTATCTCTCAGCCAGCTGCATGCAACTAGCTAATTACTTCAACTTTTCTATAACAAAAAAGCGAGGGTTGCTTAAGGTTACGCTATATTAAATAGATTTATGACCAAGGAGGCGCTATCGAGAATGTATACAAGAATAAACAAGAGCACGCCCACAGACTGCCCGATGTAGTTACGAAACAACTTCAAGATTATCTCGAGTTATTTGGCCTGCATCCGAAAATGAAACAGGCGCTGAATGTGAATCTAGATCTTGCGATGTACGTCTTCTCAGAAGCACTTCGGACCGATAGGTTGGGGACCCGGCGGGCTTGCTTGATCCTGACGGATAGGGTTGGGGGCCATTTAGCTGCTGGAAAATATCAAAAGAGAGGCACGTGTAGTTGGAGCGGTTTAAGAGAGGATTTGTAGTTGTTTTGCCTTATTTAATTTAAAGGTAGATGATGAAAAGCAAGTACTTGGGTATCTTTACAAAGGAAAAACACATTTTAAGTTATGAAAGCGTAAAGGGTGTCGCATGTTGAACTGCTCTTCGCAGTTATCGCATGAGGCTGGCATGTGCAAGGATGTCGGTCGCTTCGGTATACTGCCGCTCCCCCGTAGTTGGATTCAGTTCCGTTGGTTGCTGCGACCCAATTTTGCGTTGCGGTATCTTCTCGTTCGTTGTGTTGCAAAACCGCTTTTACGATTTGCACAAATTCGCTCCTCTTCTCCCTTCCATCGTCGCCTCCGCCATTGCTCTGATTCGTAGGTGTTTCCTGCAATTAAAAAGAGTACTCGCGGCGGAGGCATCTCAGGGAAACGGTCGGACCGCTAACAGTCGTAGGGCTTGAGGACCGTCACGTGGGTTTGTAGCTCAGGATAAGAGACATTGAAGGTGCCCAGCCTACGTCATTTGGTGGTACCAGTTCAGGCAACGTTGCTGACCCGATAGCTAATGTAAGCCGTAGCTGGTAGAAGGCAAACGTTGCCAAGATTGTAGCCAGGATGGGTCAGGAACGCAAGGTTCTCTGGAACAAAACGGTCTGCTACGCCACAGCATACCCATGCATGCCAGGAGTGGACAGGCGGGGTCAACTGTGGGACCAGCTGCGTGGTGGTACAACGACCGGTGGACAGCCCCTCAATCTGGGCAATGGTTCATGCGACCTGCATAGCCGATTCTAAACCGCTGGGTGGCTCAGTGTTCGTGTTTACTGTTGATTTGCCACGTGCAGCTGGTATTTGCGTAATTTCAGGTTCTTCTCGCAAAGCGTTAGAAGGTGCTTGATGTCAGAAGCTGGATCCAGAGCGTAATGGGATAACACCAGCCCTCCGTCCTTGCATCTTTCTCTTCGGTGCGCTTTTGGGTATATTCTTGCTGAAGTTGACCACACTCTTCATTTCCTTGAACCTTTTCATGTTTCGGGGTGAGAGTTTTGTTTCATCAACACCGTTATCAAGCAAAAGAGCTACGAATTCGCGCCGATTGTGTGAGACAGCTAGATCGAGGACTGTGGAAGGCTCAGAGTCCTTAGCGTTAACATCGGCCCCAAACTCGAGCAAGATCCGTGCTAGTTCAATGTCACCACGTTGAGCTGCTAAATGTAGAGGGGTTCGCTGCACGCCATCGATTGAATTTGCGAGTGCTGAGCCTTCCGCATGTTGCCGAAGAATTGTACGGATATCCTGATGGCGTGCATCATTGCCTTTGCAATTTGCGATTTGGAAGTGGAAGTCTACCCAGTCGCTATTGGGCTTCGCGGGTGTAGGGTCTGGTATCGATGCCTGGCGACTGCGCGAAGTGGTCGATGAGACAGACAGTCGAGTGCCTGAGGTTGATGATGAAGTTCTCCGCGTTGGCGGGTCGAGTTCATGCTCATATAACGTCTCGGCTTGGGATAATGTCCTACTTGGAGGTTGTATGTTGGAATCTTGCATCATATCTTCTAGTTCGCTTCTTACTGTGGTCGTTTGTTGCTGCTGGCGGTCAGTTTGACAATTTGCACACCGCGCGGTATAGCTCTAGAATCTCTCACCATAGGAAGTGCTTCTGATGTACGACGGTCGATTACCGCTGTCATATGACTGTTGTGATGTTAGTGATACCTTAGGTCGGACATAGAACTGTGCTCACAGTGTCCAACAGCTGATGCTCTTATGAATCTGGTCCATGAGACGCTCAATGTCTTTAATGGCATCCTCAATATCCTTTTTGGACCGATCCGATCTTATTTTCAGAACCATCCTCTGCAAGAGAGTGTTTGTACTTCGTGATTCAAGCCCTTTGACTGTGGCTTGAACCTCCTCAAGTCGGCGACGGCATCGTTTGAGGTGTTCACGAACGAAACGGGAAGGATCATCTTCGCGAGATCGGGCGTGCCTACAGGCTGATTCTACCTCCTTAATGAGCTTGTGAAGGTCATAAAGATTGAAAAGCAGCTTCTCGATATACTGATCAATGACTTGAGCTTCCTTGATGAAAGTGACGGTCTCCTTGATTATTGCCAGTGACACCGTCGCTATGGTAATAATACTGGAGACTGGCTCCGCCATGACGGCTGTGACTTAGTGAGTGGGTCCCGGCCGATATTAAAGCGTCAAGAACTGTTGGTTCAGGAAGCTGCTGTTGGGTGTATAAGGCTGAGTGGAGAAAGGCGAAATGGAACCAGCGAAAGTAAAGACTTCTCTGTACGAACAGTGCATATAACGGGGGACAGTCTGGTCCTGAGGTGGCTGAGCCATGCGCGTGGCACGTAGTCGTGACGAGAGATGACAATTCGCTTCAAATTCAAGGCAACCGTATGGCAGCTACGTCTTTAGGTGTCGCCCCGTTGACGCTGGTTCCTTCAAAGCGACACAGAAAGAGAAGAAATTTGACGAAATGATATTTTAGTGTTGGGGTGAAAGAAGGCCAGGTTCAGGGTAACTCGGCGAGCGGGGAAGTTTGATGACAGCGGTTCGCAGATCGCGTACGCAGACACTCACGTGTAAGCCACTGGATGTGACAACTGTTCGAGCAGAAGGGAGACATAGGAGGGTGTAGGCTGAGCATAGCAAATTTGCGGGGGCGAAGTAGGGTAGCAGCTCAGCCTCTCCACACACGGGGCATGTGGGTGGAAATGCAGGCCCTGCGCACCTTTCGTGGCGAACCAAGTAGCGTACGAACAAACTCGGTGGGCGTGAGGGACGAAGCAGGCTGAATTGCTTCGAGGTGCATCGTGATGCAATAGCTGAGCAGCTAAGCCTGCGCAAATTGGTGGCTGACACCCTGATTGGCCAGGTTACGGAATACGAGAACGTAAAAAGCAAGGCAACCAATCCCAGCCAGGTCACACCGTCACGAAATCTCACTGCCTACGCCGAGCCACCACTAAATATCTTCTTGGTTCCTTGGTGGTCAATGGAGATCGGAAGCTGCGTGGTACCGCGTCCGGGGAGAGACTCCGGTCAGCCTTGTGCGCCTAAGAAGATTTCCAAAGCGCCTTGGCGATGTATGTACGTTGAGAGACTTAATAAAGCGCTTCTTGCTATTCGAATGACAGTTTGTGCACGGCGGCTCGACATCGTGTCGTGAGCCTCTGTTTGGATAATGAACACGATCTTGAATACAGCAAGAGCCACGGAAGAGCATAGTCAGGTAATTTGCTGCCACACAAAGACCCCCTCTAATTTTAGATGCAAATATACTTACAATAGGTGGTCTTGGAAGCTAATCACTACTTAGAAAATGGGTCGCAATATACTCGTCGATCGCAGATTGGTTGCGGATCACGTCCGATCAACGGGACCAAGACAGACGTTGGTGAAGCCTTTTGAACCTGTCTGGGTTTTGTTGACAACTTTGTAGTATCGACAACCCATTCTTGACTTTTGATGATACAAGAGTCGAGGCCAGGACCGGACGCACTGAGCTTGAAGAATATGTCTGGCAATTTGTAGTCCAAGCAGATTTAAAGGATAAATTCGAGTTACTCAGGTTTGGAGCCCGTCTTGCTCGAGACAAACATGAGGCAATGAGTAGATATGCCGATGAACTCACGGAGCCGGAGAAAAAACTGTTGGAAAAGGAGAAGGAGAAGGAAACCGGCTTCTGGAAGCAGTCCAAGTTTTTCCGAGCCACAATTATCACTGCCAGTCTAGGTGGAATGATTCAAGGATGGACACAGAGCGTCAATAACGGCACGGCTTATGGCATGCCGGATGAGTTTGGCTTGTGTTATCGTAGTGCTAACTGCAGCGCTGCACAACTATGGACCTTCGGTATGCTGAACGCGATCCCGCTACTTTCTGCGGGAATATTTGGCACCATCGCTGCAGATCCATTGCAAGAGATAGTTTTAGGCAGACGAGGTAGTGTAATGCTCTCGTGTGCGATCACTATTGCTTCTACGATCGGCGCCTCTGTCACGCAAAATGTTGGCCAGCTAGCGGCTTGTCGAGCGATCAATGGAATTGCTCTAGGTGCAAAAGCGTCAATCAGTAAGTCAACTCTATTATGCTCGAAAGGGTGTCAGAGGCCAAAAAGGCAAAGAAAATTTCGCCTCTGGACTGCAGTTCTGACATTTCAGTAGTTCCCATTTATTCCGCTGAGCTCTCACCGGAACATATTCGAGGGGCCATTTTGGCTAATTGGCAGCTGGCAGATGCCGCCGGTAAGCAATAGAGATCAAATTCCTCTATAGAACTGACGGTGGCAGGCATCTTCTTTGGGTTTCTTGCCAACCTATTAGTCGTGATTTACGTGGGCGACCCATTCAGAAGTTGGAGAATCCTTACCAACACAGTCTTGGTGCCCACTGTTCCTTTGCTAATAATGATTTATCTCATGCCAGAGTCCCCTCGATACCTAGTGAAGCATGGAAAGTACCGGAAAGCACTCCAAGCATTCGAGCAAATTCAGACAACATGGCTTTTGTGCAGCCGGGACTTCATGTATGCGCATGCCCAACTGGACTTTGAGAGTCGGTTATTAAAAGGACACGCAAACGAGTATGGAAACCTCGCCGAACGGATTGATGTAAGCACACAAGGGTCACTTGGAGCTCTACCCGGTCCTTTGCCACATGGTCCTCAGCCCCAGAGTAATGCATCAGATACATCCATCTCGCAAGGAAGATCAATTGATTCGGTCGAGCCGATACCAGACATATCGTCATTGAGTGTAAGCAGGATAGCACAACCTAGAGACAGCCACCAACAGTCCAGCCAACAGGACGAACAAAGCCGTGAAAGAAGCATCGAACTCGTAGTTCTCAATCGATCAACAAGTGAGCTCTCGAGCCTGAACATCGATCTAGGAATTCAACGGGCTAAGAAAAGAGACAATCCATACTCATACCACATTGGAGTAACGGGCTATTTTAATCGACTCGTTCAACTCTGGGAGAACAAACGTTGCCGCAGAGCACTTCTGAGTGCTTCCACCGCAATGATTAGTCAGCAGATGACTGGCGTCAATACCAGTACGTAAACTCGTGGTTCAAACAACGATGGATATAGATGCATGTGTCTAGACTACTTCGGGTAGCCTTGCGTGCCTACTAGTCTTCTGAAGGCTGCCTGGAACTTGTCGGGCATACTTCGCTTCCTTCCCTTTCTAACTCGCTGGACGATTCTATTCCAATTCTAAGTTCTTTCACTGACTACACTTATTAGTTGCGTTTCTAGGTACAATTGTGTGGGAAAACTCTCTCGTCAATACAGACTCGCAGACCCATGTGAAAAGCGACGCCCGGACTGCTGCCATCATTGGCCTTGCCTTTGGCGCAGCAAATTATGTCTTCGGCCTTCCAGCGTACTGGCTATCGGATAAGATTGGCCGCTCGATCATGCTTGCCCTCGGGCTTCCAAACATGGCATGGTCAATGTTGGTGTTTGCATTTCTGTTCAAGATCCCCAACGAATCCGTCCGAGTGCCGCTCGTGAGCATTTTTGCGATTGTCTTTGTGGTGTTCTATGCTCCAACAGCGGGAACGTCGCCCTTCTCAATATCTGCGGAGGTGAGTTCTCTTCCCCACGAACTACGCCCAAGACAATATCTAACGAAAGACTTCGCCTCTAGGTGTTTCCCTTGGTATGTAACGCCCGTGATTGAGCTGTATGTGACACATACACTAACCTCATCATCTAGGTATCTCGTGAAGCAGGCATGGCCGTGTCTGTCGCCGTTAATCTACTAGGAGCTGGGGTATTGGTGCTTGTATTTCCTTGTATGTAAGACTCGTGTAGGAACCGCTTGAGACACCTGCTGATTCCATACCCCAATCTTTAGTCCTCCTCCATCAGATTGGCGCAACTGGTGCACTGTCAATCTTTGCAGGCCTAAATATGATAGCATTTGTGCTAGTGTACCTGTTCGTTCCGGAGACGAGAATGCGAACGCTGGAAGAGTTACAGTATACTTTCGATTTACCTACTAGATGGCACATCTCATACAGGGCTGGTTACATCCGAAAACACGTAGTGCAAAATTGGTGGAAGTACTTGACGGGCAAGTCAAAAGAAGTAGAACCACCGATTCCTTTTTATGAGTGGGCGAGAGTGGTTCATGGAGAAAGGGAGGACGCCAGCTGAGCAGTTTAAGTTATAATAAGTGAGGTGAAAATAACCGCGACAAAGAGAAAGTAGATATGAAGAGCTAGAGTGAATCAATGTCATGTTTCTTGGTTTGTCGATGTAGGTGCCTTAACATGTTCGTTTATCCAGAGTCGGGAAAGCATCTCTCCTTCAACGTCCACCCCATCCTCCGAACGTCCTCGTTTTCACAACTCTTCCAACTGTCTAATAACTGCTTTAGCTTCTCCTTCAGAACCTTGTCGATGTCATCGAAGTCTTCCACCATCTCCACCAGATAACTCGCAACTTCTACCCTCAACAACTCAGATGCCGTCACCGAGCTCAGCCTTGTCTTCGTAATACTGCCCAGGTATATGGCAGTTAAGCCTCTGTTATGTATAAGCGCATCGTGGAGTGGGTCTCGCTTGCCGTAAAATATGGTACAACGGCCGATTTTCTTCTCAGCGCGATCCACGCTCTTCGAGCTCACGGGGTCGAGGGAGAGGTAGGACTTTAGTTGGGAAAGACTTTTACCACAAAGAGAGCCGCTTATCTCGTCGATGATGGACTTGAGCTGATTTGCAAAGGCCTCGCATTTTCTTTCTCTATCTTTGATCTTGTCACATCGATCTGGCCAGGGATAGTCGAGAAGCAGAAGGCGCCACGGGAAAGTGTCGGGTAAAACAAACGGTTTGCGTTTCGGATTTCGCTCCCAGTCGCTCGTGCGAATGGTGTTAACATAAGCCACCATTGCTTTGACAATTGCTTTGCCATGAGGGTGCCACCAGGGTTGAATCAGGTAGTCGCCTTTCGAGAACCGATGCGTTAGATAGTCCTCTAAAAGAGTGTACGTGGGAGTATCGTTCCACAACACCGCAGTAAATAGCCTGAGAAACTGTTCTTGAACCAACCTAGGCGTTATGGCAGCATGCATCGTAGATAAGACGTCTATTCCAAGCTTTGAAGGTAATTCGAAGATTCGGACATGTTTCACAACTTCGAGGCCTCGTCCATAGAGACCTAGCCACGTTTTCACGTCGTTTTGTGACTTCAGCGCAGGGTCTTCAAGAAGTCTTCTGTTCAGCTGCCTGATAGATGCGGAGGGCGCAATGTTGAAGGTAATGTACGTGACATATTCTTCAAGTACAGTGCGTGGGAGATAGCGCACTCTTGTATTGTCTGCTGACAGTAATAACAGACTCACGCTAAAATCTCGGGGGATCAAAGGGATCTTTAATTCTCTCTGGGCCGTATTTTCAATTCCGTACTTGCGCAGAAACAGGGCTATCCACCTATTTGTTTGCTGCTTGAAGCGTAACACTGTCGGAAGAATGATTCGATCTACAAAAGCCTGCAACTGTTTTATGTCATTTGGCGCATTGCGGAAATGAGACATTAAGGCAGCGAGAATTGGTGAAGATGAGCTTGAAATGTTGGAAACGTCCTCTTGGATTTGAGGAAGCAAAAGAGTTTCTTCGCTCTGGGCCCAATCCATTTCAGTCAAAGGCTCCCGTTCGTTCAAACTTCCGGCCAAGTGTAACGTACGCTCTAGAACAGCAAGTATGTCATTGGAATAACTGGATGAACCAAACTTAAGCATACTCAATAATGCCTTGACGAGGTTTAGGTGGACGTCAATATGCGACGTCATTTGGTAGAGGCTCGAAAGGATTGAGAGAGCATAGTCTTCGTCAACAAACTCCGTTCCTTCAAGTAGCTGTGCAAGAAACTTTTGAGTCGTCACTTTGACAAAGGGTTTGCTCGTGTATTGCTCTGCAGTCTCTCTTGGCCGCAGACCGGATCCAGAGTCGCTTTCTCTTTCACCGGACACTTCTGCCTCCCCATCGCGAGCTTGTAGTTTATCGAAGATCTGGTATGCAAACTCTTTGAAACAAGCCTGGGCGTCGGAAGCCGCGAGCCTACGAAACAGGCTAGGCTTCAACAGTGATCGATGCCAGGAGCTTGACTTCGGTTTATGTAGGACCGTCCGAATAGCGACCTCCGTCGCCAAGTCAGGTCTATCACTTTCGCCCAGACGTACGATTAATGTCATAACTACTTCATGAATCGTTTGGTATGTACTTGAATCCTCATCGGTCGCGTCTAACGCTCTGACAACACTCTGGACAAGCTGGGCTAACATAGGTGGAGGTATTGAGTTGAGATGGCCTCGAATACTTCTGACTGCTGTAAAAGGGTTCGGTATGTCGCTCGACAGAAATTCGTCGTCGAGGTACAGAACTGGATACCGGGGCTCGTATTCGGTAGGAAATGGGCCCTCCAATAGATGGTTGTCCGATACGTATCTAGTATCAAGATAGAGTAAAGCTGACAAGACCCCGCCTTCGCCCATTTTACGTGATGAGTTCCACATCGTATGCGCGCTAACCTCTAACCCAGGGACTTGAGGCGGTACTGATTCGAGCTTGTGATGAACGGTAGGCTGAAATCGTGTTTGCTCGAGAACGGCTAGGGAAAGATCGATATACGTCAACTTGCCAAGGTCTCTTTTACGGAAATTTGGTCTCCCTGAAGTAAACGGGTTCCATTCACATGGCTCTAGTGGGTTGGCGGTTTCAGGAATCAAGGGCCAGGTCGCGCAATTTTCAAGAGCGAGTTCTTGCGGTGGCCACTCCTTCAAGTACTCCGGTTTTTGGCAACTCCAAAAGCGAACAGCTTCTTCTCCATCCATTCTGCTTTGGCTCAACGAACTAATGGCGAAATCCCAAACCTTTTTGACGCGTTTTTCTTTCTCCGCCTTCTGAATTGAACTTGGTATATGAAGCTGCAGGGCATACGGATAGCTATCCACGAAAACCCCAATAGCCTTATGCCAATCACCCTCTGTCGGGACAGAAAGAAGCGCTGCAGCCGGGTCTGGAAACAAAGTAGCTTGCACACGGGATGCTAGGTATGGAGCACAGCCCCCCAGATTTTCCATATTTATATTCCATGGCGCCGTGAGATACTGAATTGGCAGGCCACGTGGAAACGGTGTGGGGAGCGCTGCCGTAATTGGGTAGAGCCTCGATCGCAGTTTTACCCACAGCTCATCTCTCGATTTAGCCAAGTTGTCGAAGAAGGTCACAGTCGACATGTCCTTCGACTCGAGTTCGATCATTGATCGAGCCATACACCCAAGGATCCCTCGTAAGCTATTGGCTCCCAGCCTTTCAAAGTCTTCTTGATTAGCTTTCTCCTCGATCGAAATCAACATTGGAATGGTGGGTTCCCATAGACTATGATATACATCTTCGTATGATGCCTTGTATATGTTCTTGATGGTCGGTGAGAGATTGATGCGATCCTGGATGACGGTGGAAAACAGGTTGAAAGTACCTTCCCAATCTCCAGACGAGAAAGAAGGCTCGCATAAGGCTGTACATGCCATCTCGAACATGTTTAACAGGATTGCGTTGGCCTTTTCAACACGGTGCCGTAATTCCGACATGGAAAATTGGCTTCCAAGCGGTTCAGGGGCGCCCGAAAGCAACCTGGATGATTCCTTGGGATAAAATCGGGGATACATCTCACGAATTGTCCGAGGATCGCGAAGGAAACGTTTTGTCCACTCTATGGTCTCTTGGTATATCACCAACGATCCGCTGCCGATGGCAGCAAACAACGCAGACCTAGCATGAAATCCACGATCTTCCGGTTGGGATGCAGAAGCAGCTTTCTTCTTTCGATCTTGCAGGTATATTGTCGCAAGCTTCTGTGCCTCTTCTTCATTGCCACTGCTGTGCTGTAAGACAATTTCATATATATCAGGATCCCCATTGTGGCCTCCATGAGTCGACGCGACGTAGAGAACGGAGTTTGAGTTTCCGGGTTCTACGAGGTCCTCGTCTCCTCTTGCTTTCCGTAAACGACTGGAGAGTGACAATGCCTGTTCAGGGCCTAGGCTGTTGAGTAACTCGTAGCTGAGAGATCCTTTAATCCTTTTGAGGTCTGCATCGACATTTAGATCGAGGCCCGTTGATTCCTGAAGGACGAGCCGTAACAGTGAGTAGCGCCGTCCTGGAGAGATGCGCTGCAAAAAACTGTCCCAATCTTGGAGTCTTTCCAACGAAGACGTGCCGAACAGAGGGTGAGAGCACAATCTTCTCAATTGCGTTTCGAAAAGTTGCGGTCTACGCGACCAGCACTGCGCAATTAGGTGGCTAACATCGTCCACCGTGTGAGTAATCTCTTTCCCGGCAGTAGGATGTGCCTCCATGTACTGCATTGTCAAATGAACTATTTCTAGGACATTCTCCCATTTTGCGTGTCTCTTGACAGCGCGTTTAAGAAGAGGTCTGATGAGTTCGTTGATGAAAAAGTTGTCGTCCATCTGAGACGACTCAGATTTGGCTAGTGTGCGTAGAATAGTGCGAGAAAATTCCATTGTGGCCGAAAAGCCGCGCTCAGGTGTGTTTACTGAGGGAAACTGTTTGATAAGGGACTTCAAGTCCTGCTCGTTGAAGGCTTTGGTATGCTCACCATCCAGATATTGCAAATACTTCCTCCTCATGCTTTCTGGGTGATTACGAAACAAACCTCGTGCTCTTGCATGTCGCCAGACTCCTTTCATGTTCATCGAAGTAGCTTCCTCGATTGACTCTTCCGAGCATGCGGGCACAAGAAGCCCGTAATATTTCGATAACGGCCGCCGGTCAGTCGTCTTGAATAACGCATCTGGGAATGCGCTTGGATGTAAGCCCTTGAACAACTCTGTATAGCACGCTCTCTTCTCATTCAAGTCTTTCCCTTTCGCACAACGACCGATGGCTTCACAAGCCTGCCGTATTTCAAGCACAGAGAGGTCCTTGAAGATGTGCAACACACCAGCTGTACCGCCGATGCCGCCCCACGTTTCTTTCCATCTCGATGAGCAGAGGCCGAGTTCGAGTTGCTTGATTGCGAGCTTTCTCACCAACACGGATTTGTTTTGTGTCAAGGCCTCGCGAATAACTTTAGGGGACTTTGAGACGCCAAGCCAGGGTGCGAATGTGAGAGGCGGGACTGCGCCTCGTTCAACGGCTTGAAGGAGTTGAGTTGTGATTGATACAACCGAGTTAGAGTTTACAAGGTCAGTGTAGTAATCTCGTAGCTGAGCAGGTGTTGAGATCCGAATGCGCTTGGTGTCTAGCATAGGTGTCATTTTATTGTGAGCCGAAGTTAGCCAAGGAAGTATCTCAGTGCACAGTGGTGCATCGACAGCTGTAGAGACCTTATGGAACTAGTCGGCGTTTTGACCTACAAGAAATTTAAGGCGTACCATGGCGTAAAGGTGACGATTAAATGGGACTTATTGTGGAGAAGTATGGGGCGGTGCAGATGCACGGACTGGGTCCGTTTCAACTCGATGGTTTTTAGCCTGTACTTTACCACCACATCCCACGTCAGAGTGCACTTGGACTGCCTCTTTCCTAGAAGAAAATAAATGCAATTCTGCGGGTTATCGCATGCTGTCGATATATCTCCCGAGGATGTTGAGTTTCATGACGTGAGGGAAGCCAATCATTATCGTTGCAGGTCGTGAGAGCGTATGACATTGCATGGAATACTAATGTACAGGCAAAGACGACTTGATCATAGGGAAGATCTCGAAATTCTATTGCGTGAGTTTCGAAAAGAGAATTAACAATCAGGCTACTACAAGTTTATCTACCCCAGGAACCAACCCATGTAGTAAGGAAAGACAGCACACTATGATACAGGTACTCAACCACGGCTCTCTAAAAACACACGCGATACATGATCGCCTTAGACTTTCTGCCCAGCACATTGGCTGCTCTCTACAGTAGCCTGTAAGCCCTCAAACCCATTCGTCTCCCAGAAGGGCCTCTCCTTCTTTTTGCTAATGCCCGTAAGCCTTACTGTAAGTCCGCAAGGATCAATGAAGGTCATAAACCATGGCATGTCGTCCTTCCATCCCAGACCCTGCAGCTCGGTCTGACCGTCCTGGGCTAGATAAACATGGTAGTCTTGAGGCAGGTAGCGGCGTGGGTGGCGGTAGTTCCAGAGAACCGTATTGATGAGCATGAGGCTTGCCTCAAAAACCCAGAAAAACCATTCGTACCGTATGATTGGCGAGAGCGACATTGGATCAAAGGCTTTCCCTGGGTTTGCGGGAGCCCGGCTTGCGCCGAAGTGCTCAACAACGCGGTAGATGGTGCGGACGAGTATCAACATCATACTAATGTACATTGTGAGTAGTGGGCCTTGGACCTTGCGGGAAGTGATGCCCGCTTTGATACAACGTCTGTGGAAGAGGCCAGCGATCACACAGAAGAGAACAATGACACCGATTTGAATGATAAGTGACGCCTTCATCAAGCCTTGCCCAAGCTTGACATAACTTTCGTCGATATTGGGGTTTGCGAGGTAAGATACGCCAAGCGCGTTTAGGACTTCCACGACCATGGATATGGTGCCGAACGTTGTGAGTGTACGGCCAGGATTTAGAGGGGAGAAGTACGGGACATAGTATAGAATGCGCCCAAGGACATGGTAGTTTGCTAGCTCAAGAATAGGACTAAGACCAATCAGCTTTATTCGAATAGTGTGAAGATAGAACGACGTACGGGGCGCAGTAAATGAAGATTGTGCTAGCCATGTACGTTTCGAATTTGTCGTAGTGAAATGCATCATATGAGCGGATCACGAAACCCACTGTGAAGAGCAAGGCACAGAAAGGGTGAAGCCCGGTGACTTTGAAGGCTTTGTAGTGAATACATTGCCAAAGGTGGGCGATGCCTGCAACCATAAACCATGCTGCAAACATGGGAGATGCCCAATTTACAGGATCATAGAGGTAAACGCTGTCGGGGACTAACAAGTGTCAGGGATGTGTCTGCGGTACTTCTGAAGGTGTTTCCATACCCGGCTTACCGTTCTCCATTGTTCAAATTGTGAGTCTGGAAGCTGCCACTCTCCATTCTTATATATTATCGTCCTTCAAGTGTCAAGGCTCTTCGCATCCCTCGTTTTCCCCAATACAGCGATGAGCATTCTGAGCGCGCTAGGCTAGAAGAAGAACGTTTCCTGGCCAAGACCTGGGCGCACCAACTCAAGCTCCCTGTTCATACTAGATACCATAAGGCTGTGTAAAATATTCGTGCATGCGATTATCAAGTCAAGCAGACATCGTGATGCGCAGTTCCGTCGTCTGCTCGGCTTTGCCAGCGGAAAAGACGGCATCGGTTACTCCCGACTCTTCATCCTATATGTGTGTTGGTAATTTAGCTGGAAGTAAAGTAGCTCGTCCATGCTATTAAAAGCCTTCTCAAAAGCGAGGTAAATCTAGCTAAGTAGTTACGTCATTTTGAATCTGAGAAGAAAGGATCCTTGACGATTGCGCAACCAAATCCTGTAAACAAGTCGTGCACGTCGCTCAACCCCGAGATCCAAGGCTAACCTCATGCCAAAAAAAGTCAGCGATAGATGACCAATTGTTTGCAGCGGCTGGTTGTGTCGCAATAAGCAGTTCACCAGGAAATCGGGGGAAAACCTTCGTCTTCGGATAGTCCGACGCAATAAGCTGCTGATCTTACCCGCATGCGGAGAAAAAGATGGCCAAGAACCAAAATTGGTAAGGCTTATATCGTAAGCTTTAGTGGAACTACTCAGCCCACCCCGTTTCTAGGCATCACTTGCAAGCTACCACGGCAATAAAGATGCAGGAGCATTCACATCTGCTGAATAGACTCCAGATAGGTGATCGCGGTTTCGCAGCTCACACTAAGGGACGTCTGCGAGATGAAGCAATCCGAAAGTGGGAAAAAAGCAACCCGCCAATGTTGGGAGTGCCTCAAACGGCGGCTAGTATGCGACCATACGTTACCCCACTGCAAAAAGTGCCAGAAGTACGGCAAGGAGTGTCCCGGATATAACGAACAGAAACCGCTGCAGTTTGTCGAAACGGGGAAGGTGACCTCTCGAAGAAGGAAAGACTGCCCACCTAAGACATACACGATTCCCTCCCCCAAGGCCGATCAGCTTCCTCAAAAGGAGGATCCTTCCGAACCTCTTAACTCCTCGTCGGATAATGACGCTGCCGTGCTAGTGCCTATCGACCTTCGATCAGATGTGACGGGCTGGGAGCTGGGAAACGAAGCAGGTTGGAGTTACATGACGGAAAATCATCCTGACAGTACACTCTGGGAAAACACATGCAGGCAGGCGGCAGAAGTCAACCGACTCTTTGGTCTCGGAGGAAGAGCTAAGATAGAAGAGGTAGTAGCCAAGAGGCTGCACAAGGAGGCTGCGAAGATGCTGCGTTCAGAGAAAGAACCTCTTAGGACGTTGGAACGCCTCTTGTGGGTAATGCACACTCATGATGTGCCGACATATGACTACCTGTCAAATGAGACTTCAGACGTAGTACAAGCTGTCCACTACTGTAGGCGACTCGCTTTTAGATGCTTCGCTAAATCGATGACTAATTGTGACAGACAATGTACGAATACACCCCGAGTTTAAGGCTTCCGGAGAGCTCGCACCTAATCCGGCCCTTATCTTCTTACCCCTGCATATTTTACATATCCTCCCTTCTACAATTCACCACATCTTGGTCTGCATATCGCTCAATTATTTCATTCAATGTCTTCCTTCCGGTACCGATCGGTCAGCGGTGGTGACCAATCGATCGAAAGTGTATCATCATCGTGGTGCTGCTATTCGAGCATTGAGCCGCTACTTGGAAACTGATAAGACGCGATGTAGCGACTTCACTATTACTAGTATATTGATGTTTATGAGCATGGATGTGAGTGCTGGCATTCGATCGTTTCCAAAACCTGAAACTCGTTTGCGTGCTAATTGCTAGAGGCAGCTTCAAAACCCCGCCATGGCGGACTGGCGTTCGCATGCCAGCGGTATGAATCGAGTGATTGATATGCGCGGCGGCTTTAAAAATTTAATGAAGCAGGCACCACACCTCACTCCGGCGCTAGTTATTTATATGATGTGAGCACCATCACTTGTTCCCATCAAACGAGATCTTACTAATGTGGATGCCAGCATCGTCATAATTGGAAACACGTGCAGTCCTTCATGGAACCAAATCGACATCGATAACTCTCCTAGCCAGACTGTCGAATACGTAAGGGAGACCCACAGCCTCATCTTCCCATATATCCTCTGTCCACGGGAGCTCTTCGTTGAAGTGATCAGGACGAACCAATTACGGAAAAAAGCATCGGCAGCAATGAAGCTTTGTGAGATCGAGTCCAACCACGTTATGGAAGCTTACGACCTGCTCGCTCGCATCAAAGCCTTCGTCCCGGTAGACTGGGCGCAACCCGGCGCATATTACGACGAATGGCTGCTAATAGGAACAATGTTTCAGTCTGCAGTCGCGATTTACTGCACAATGTCGCTACAATCGCTGACAATCTTACCGAATTCTCTTGAGATAGATACCATACGGTCAGTTCAAGGCGACCGCCTTCTAAAAAGTCTCAGAGCAGCAGTCAATGTACCACGCGTGATGAAGTTCGCTGTATGGCCCCTTGTAGTATCAGGAGTTGAAGCTGCGTACCGAGACGAAGCCGCAAGAAATTACGTCGATTCGGTTTTGTCTGACTTGAGTTGCGTTTTGAGAACAAATAGTCCGCTTAAAGCGCGGGCGGTGTTGAGGCGCTATTGGCAAAAGGGGGTGCCGGGCTGGGACGAATGTTTCGACCGTCCGTACGTGTTCATCATATAATTGAAGTTCGATAATGCTAAAAATTACAGGGAGACAGTGTTAGTGGCCACTTGTATGTGCTAGAGCGGAAGATGATGCTGCTGCTAGGGGCTGCATAATACGTGGTCGAAGTTCTCACGGAATCCTTCCTGCAATGTCACATCGGAGCCTGGATAAACTCGAAATACTACGCAGCTGTACTTGGCTTTTGCAGATCTATTTGGAAAGGTATAGGCTAGGCTGCCTGATGGTCCAATTACTTGCTCTAGATTCACTTGGAGGAAGGACTCCGAATTATTGCAGCAGCTGGTAGCGATGAATATATTACAACCTCATGCACCTCAGACCACAACAACAGACAAGGACATGCCAAAATAATCCAATGAAACGCAAACACTAACCAGATCACCGCAGCTCCCGGGTCTGTCGGTAAGAATTTGAGTAATATCACAGGGCCCTAGATAACTCGCAAGGACACCGAGGATGTGCGTTGCTTTTCCCGGACCCGATAAACGTCTAATCTATGCCCTCCAGGTCCTACTTCTCTTCAACGCCCTGTCAGACTCTCATGGTCAGACGAGCGAGGACCCGAGTTGGTGCAGCCCGATGCCCCGCGTTGTTAATATCCTGCTTACTTGAAAGTAATCTCTATGCTACATCGCACAACACATCAAACGCAAATCGCTTGCTTGAGACGAATAGTGATCCCGTACCCCATCTCATGGACACAATAAGCACCACAAGTACACTAGGTAGGAGTGACACGAGTAAGACCACGTGTGTAATTAACGTCGTAAGCCTAGCACAGCTACCTACAACGCACCACAAAAACAGCAGATCGGCGACAACGTGTGTAATCTTGAAGGGGGGTATACTCGACAACATCAAGGGTTGTGGTCAGTAACGGCCGATCGATCGATGCCATGGGCGAGTATATATACCACCATCGAGGACGCTATTTTCATAACTACCAGCTCACTACTAGCTAATCTAAGCCCTCAACTTCAAATTATCTCATATACCTTGCTTACTCATCCGACATCATGAAGTTCAGCATCATTCTGACTACCTTCATCGCCGCCGCCCTGGCCGCCCCTGCAGCTGAACCCCAGCCCGAGGGCCAGCCCGCGCTCGAGATCCTCGAGAAGCGCTGCCTTCCTAACGGAGGTCAGTTATTCCATGATAGAATTTGCGGCAGTGTGTTGTAGTTGCAATATACTGACTGGTCCTAGCTGACTGTATTCGCACACCAAACGATTGTTGTAGCAAATCTTGCTATATGGACAAGGGTCAGGCTACTTATCGCTGCTATCCCTGGTAGAAATATGGTTGCTCTAAAGGGAGTTTCCGAAGAGAGGTGGATTGCTAAGATCCTTTGTTCTTTCACTGAAATAATGAGGAACGTGGAATGACGGTCGTTATGATGTGGATAGGGCGTATGGGGACTGGAAACCGGGTGTCGCAAGTTGCGTATTTAAAAGTGCTTTGAATTCAGCCTTTTGCGCGACTCACTACTTCGTGATGTTGAACATTTGATGTACAGTGCCGTAACTATACAGAGGGGAGATCTTGTCTCGCCCCGAAATACCCATTGTTGCGAACGCCTAACCATGCTATTAACTTCTTGAAGCCTTCTCTTGTGCGGCATATACTATCGATCCAGGCCTTTGCCCTCTGGATCCTCATCCCCCTTCGTTTCTTTGACATCCTTGTACGGCCGCCCAGCATATAGCATGTAACCCTTCTCCTCAATCGTGCCCACTTTTTCATCCGCTTCTGCCCTGCCCTTTCCAAACGCTCCTGTCTCCAATTGTCCCTGTACCGCAATGGGCCTGTTGCCTCGGAATCGCTTGCGCATATCGATCATGCCCTTTTTGCACTCTGCGTAGCCTTTCTGGAGCTGCTGGCATTGCGTGGGGAGTGTGTATTTGAGTGGCGGTCGTAAGCAGTCGCCGGGCGAATTGCGCTCGACCATTATGCAATCGCTGTTCTGAAGGCAGAATGCTAGCGCTGCGCCTGTGGGTACGTCAGTTCCAGAATCCTCACGGCTTCTGCGCAATTGGTAACGTACGTATATCTTTACATGACTGCGGCATCTTGAGATTATGCTCGAGGGCTATCGGCGCATTGGCGATGTGGTGGAGTGACGGGGTCGCCAAAAGTATATCGGCGGAAGTGTCGCGTTGAACGCCGGCGCTAGAGGTGCGAAATCACATGTCAAAGGATCCGCGAGCGTGAACGTCATGTCATGTCTCCACCCTGAAGAACATCATGACTTTATTATCACCTCCGTCTTCTCTTGACATCTTTCATCCTCATTCTGGCTTTGAGAGCCCGAGGTATGGAGGAAGTGAAGTCTCGATTGACTCGTCTTGACCGCTTTCGTCCCGACTCCGTATAGATCAACATAGCTCTACCGTCTACCGCTCGAGCGTTTGCCATCACCCCAGGCCTCACGACACGAAACATACGCAATGGCGCTACACATACCCTTCCTCTCACGCCTACATATTCGCGAATACTTCGCCCTCGTCCTCTCCATCTTCCTCATCGCACTCGAATCCTTCATCGCCGTCATAACCCTCGCCCTCCCCTCGCCCATCATCAACCTCTGCTACCGCCTCACCCGCCGGCTGTTCAATCACCTCTCCTCACCCTCGTCGAAACGTTCACGTCAAAAGAAGAAGGGTGTATGGAGCTCTATCGCGAATGCTTCCGACTTCACGGAGCTGTGCGAGCTGTATGGATACTACTGTGAGGAGCATGTCGTGCAGACAGGCGATGGCTATCTGCTAGGCCTGCATAGGCTGGGCTGGCGACAGGGAGAGGAAGATGTCAGAGTGAATGTTGGGGGAAAAGACAAAGGAGTGAAGAAGAAGGTTGTGTATCTGCACCACGGGTTGATGATGAATAGCGAGGTATGGGTGTGCTCTACGGAGCGCGAGCGGTGTTTGCCATTCGAGCTTGTCGAGCGGGGATACGATGTCTGGCTTGGTAACAATCGAGGCAACAAATACTCCAAGAAAAGCGTACATACTGCGCCGACATCAAGTAGCTTCTGGAACTTCAGCATGGATCAGTTCGCTTTCCACGACATTCCCGATTCCATCGCGTACATCCTGGAGACCACTCATCAGCCATCGTTGTCTTATATCGGATTTTCACAAGGGACTGCGCAGGCTTTTGCAACGCTGTCCATTCATCCTACGCTGAACGAAAAAGTGGATGTCTTCATTGCATTGGCTCCGGCCATGTCGCCGAAAGGGATTGCTTCTGGTATCGTCGATTCTTTTGTCAAGGCATCTCCGGATATTCTGTACCTGGCTTTCGGTCGAAAAGCCATTCTTCCTTCGACGACGATGTGGCAGTCGATCCTATATCCTCCTATTTTTGTCCGCCTTATCGATGCGTCGCTTCGATTCCTCTTTGGATGGACTGCCGTCAATATCTCGCCTTCTCAGAAACTTGCTGCGTACCCCCATCTTTACTCATTTACATCCACCAAGAGCGTTGTCCACTGGTTCCAAATCATCCGCAATGGTGTGTTTCAGATGTATGACGATGAAGCGCCGAACCCAATCACCTCGAACCGATCAAAGTACTACAAGGTCGCCAAATTTCCCACAAAAAACATCAAGACGCCCATTGTTCTCGTCTACGGTGGTTCAGACAGTCTTGTTGACATAAAGATAATGCTCAAGGAGCTACCTCGCCACACGATAGCGAAGGAGATCCCGCATTACGAGCATTTGGACTTTCTTTGGGCACAATCCGTCGATCAACTCGTTTTCCCGCATGTATTCGAAGCTTTGGACGAGTATACTGGCACAGAAACTGGCGCCATTGAGGGTCAAAAGGAGAAGCGTTGGCGATCACCAGGCCGCTATCGCGGTCTCTTAACTGAGTCTGGTGACCTCCCTACACCAGAAGCCGATGATGAAGGCGACGAAAGTGCAACAGGTCCGGTGGCATTGCGGTCCAGGAAGTTCTCACATAATGCACGGAAACCAGCATTTCATGATGGTGTAGTGGAAGAAAACAGCCTGTCGCCGCAGTCGTCCCCACAGTCTGCGTCAAAGATCCCACACTTAGCTAGCTACAAAGCTCGCTCCGAAGGAAAGCCCTCACCAGTGCGAAGCAAGCTCATGTCTCCCCCTCCTACCTTTAGAGTACCAGTCGACTCACCAGGAGCATCTATAGATGCATCGCATGTCACTAGCCAAACTTCCACCTCAAGACCGGAAGGATGGTGGTCCTCTGACGAAGTTGCAGGTACTGAGCAGTCCCAGCCTTCTACACCCCACGTCAGTAAGAGCCCTAGAAGAACAAGCTTTGATAGTCATACAAGTACGAACTCACTTACAGGTCGCTTCAGTAATAAAGGAATAACCCTTGGTGTGGGAAGGCCAGTTAGTGGGGTCATAGAGGGCCACGGACTTGGACGGGGAACCGGGAGTGGAAAGGATAGTGAGAGTCTACCAGGGATGAGTGCAGACGAAAGGAAGAAGAAGAGAAATGTGGGAAGCGGGAAGAGGAAGAGAGGTTTTAGCCTGCCTGTTGCGAGTTAATACATGTTCTTGACTATAGAATACTTCTAAATACAGTTGTAGAGATATACAGAAGCGGCAGCGACATCATGTGTGCACAAAATACACCCAGTTCAACATGTTGGCCAAATGCGAAGATGTCAAGAAACGCATGTTTCGTGGAAGAACTCTTTCAGCAGACGCGCGACCATTGACAGGTTGTCGTCAAGGATACTTGCAACCCAGGGCCAGCTTGGACTGCGGGCATGAACATGACTGCTTGCGGTGCCAGCTTCTGGTCGCTTGTATGAACTGAATGGATGGAGGAGTCATAAATTTCGATCGCCTATTTGGTCAGTCTCTACCTGGATTTCCGTGGATATACATTCGACGGAGGCCTTGACCCCCAGATGCACGGACTCCAGGATACAGAAATCGTAATGATGACGGTTGGCCACTATACAAGCGCGGATAGGGTATCCAAGAGCTCAGCCTGTCAACTCGAGTGATACACTTTGGTCTGCAAAAGTTAATATGAAGCTGTAAGCATCATAGCCTGAGCGAAAGCGATACGAACGAATGTTATACTAATACCAGTTCGTACGTGCCAAACTTCATCTCGACAAGACCGGAAGACAAGCCATCAGGTGGACTACGAAAGCAGTGGTATCCCGCTGTCTCCAGCTATTCCTAGCGGAATCTTACATTGCCCCAATATACACTACTCAATACCGTTGGTTTGAGGTTATTAGCTCAATAAGCGTGACTTGGTATTGTCGGATCTATGAGGGTGCTTTCGGATTTATATAGGGTCAGAACTGTCGTCGTCATCCTTTTCAATACATTTCAAATGGGCATGGGCTGTGAGCGCTTTGTTTGTATTGTGATCGAGATCAATTGAGCTGAGGAATCTCTCCTCTCACTTTCACCGCGAAGTTCATGCTAGCCTACCTTTCAAAACCGCGCTACTTTAGCTAGAATACCTTTTGCCTCTGTTCGCACACCTTCCACGATAACCTTCGCACTTTCGACCTCCTTCACTAAGCCGACACCTGTACCCGCCCAGATCGCCGCTCGTCCCTGCAAGCCCGTCTTAAAACCTCTGTCATCTTTACCGACGGCCTCTTTATGCAGCTTCTGAATGTCCCCGAGACTGACCCCATTCACGTAGTCTTTGTGGCTCTGAACAACCAGACTGCGCCCATCGTACAGCTCGGGCCAGATATTGGGACCGCGCAGCTGATCGAACAGCTTCGAGCGTGTCGTCACCTGTCCACCATCATGAGCTTCCAGAACCGCGGCTTGGTAATTCGGATGGACAGCGACTTCCTTTGATGCAAGGAAGCGGGTTCCCATCACCACGCCCTGAGCGCCGAGCGCGAGTGCGGCGGCGACACCCCGGCCATCGACGATACCGCCTGAGGCTACCAGCGGGATGTGGGAGTACCCCTCCTTGGCGAGGGTATCAGATGCTTCAGGCAGCAACGAGATGATCCCCGCGCCCTTCTCAAAGCCGTGTCCCCCTGCATCGGCGCCTTGGAGACAGAATACATCTGGCGCCGCCGTTCTGGCGATGTGCAGCGCGGCGGAGACGCTACCAACCTGTATCCAAATCTTGCTGTCGGGAGAGACATTTCGAATTGCCGAAGCCCATGCTGTATAATCGTCCAGTGACTTGGCCGCGAAGAGCCAGACGACGGCGGGTCTGAACTCTCCAATCACAGGCAGAACCTCGTCAAGCTTCAAGACGAAGGGCAGCAGGCCCACGCCAACGGGGACCGTCTTGGAGGATAACAAGATTGGGTCGGATGCGAGAGCTTCGGAGACGACTTGTAGTTCCTTCCGCAGATCGTCCATGTTGAAGAGGCCACCAACTAAACCGAGACCGCCAGCGAGCGTCACAGTGGAGGCGAGTTTGCCGCCAGCAAAGCCCGCCATCGGGGCATTCGCGATGATCGGGGACGACGTCCAAGGTAGTTGATCCCTAAGAGTCGACATCGTGAAGTTAACTTTAAGAGAAGGTAGGTTAAGGAGCCACAATAGTCTAAGAACTATTTGTGGAGCTATTGCTAGTCTATCGGTCAACTTTGGTAAACAGTCTGATCCACGTCAATGCGAACGGACAGTAATGAGCTCTCCCACTAAAATGATGGCAGAGACATCTTACATCTTTCTACTCGAGCTGCAGGCTTTATGCTGCTCTGTATTCAGGTTTACGAAAGACAAGAGTAAGCAGCAATAGTTTGCTAGAACCCATGACTAATGTGGCGGCTGACGATAGACAGATCTAGCACTGCATTAGAAGGGCGCTAGATTGGCAGCTTACGCGACAGCCTCGGACAGTCCAACGGTCATCTTCGGTATTGGTCCAAAGATCGAGATGCGAATAGAGTGGAGTAGTGGGCTATAAACGACAAATTTTAACATTGGAGGTTGATGTTCCCCACTTCGCGCCAAACCCGGACGTCACAACCAACATCTCCGATCATCATCACTCAGAGAGAGCCAAATTTTCACAATATATTGGAGCTAAGATTCCAAATCAACAAATCATATCGGCTCGATGGTGTAGTTGGTTATCACGTTCGCCTCACATGAATCCTTCCAAACGGTTGGGAATAAGTCCGCGCGAAAGGTCCCGAGTTCGAGCCTCGGTTGAGTCATTCCTTTTTGCCAATACACGCAATCTGACATCTCTGGAGTGTAGTCTTCTTTACGCACACGGACTGTCACTCTTGTTTTTGTCTGAGATACGTGAGGTATGTATTGCGCATGGCGAAACCCGGATAGATCAGCAACAGACTGAACTACCCATGCATGCAGCGTCTGATTGCAGCTTTATGATCTATGTTAATCCCCCCTGTTTCACCTGTCATATCAGGAGTAAACTCTCTTCACTCGATGCACTGATATTTCATTCTCTGCTATTTTCGGAGCGCGCTTGACATCCTTCCATGGGAAGCCTTCTATGCTCTTTCAACCTTCTCCCTGTGCTTTTTGCCTTTCAACCTCTTTGACTTGTCAAGCTCCCGCATGATTACCTCCTCGATAGCGGGCGTTACGCCTTGATTCGTAGCAACGTGCTCCAGTCCTCCCTCCACGCCACTGTCAACGACCAGCTCATGGGTATCGTAGTTAACATGAACGTCTTCGAGGGTGACAACAACTTCATCGCCAAATATTTTGGCCATTTCTTCAAGCGGAATGCCTTTCGTCTCGGGGAGCGTCTAAATGTTATCAGCAAAAGCTTGCTTCCTACTGTGTGGAAGGGGATGGGTCCTCTTACGAAGATGAGGAATATAACACCAAGCGTACAGATGATAATAAAGAGGAGGTAAAATCTCCAGCCAATGTTTGCAAATGCTGTCGTCGTAGTTTGAAGGTAAACGAGGTCCGTAAGCGCGATGGTTGCCATTGAGAGGCACACGCCTTTAGCCCGTATATGATTGGGGAAGAGCTCGGAGTAGAAGACTACGCCGGCGACGTCAATGCCTACGCTGTAGACTGCGAGGAAGAGGTAGAACCTGAATATCGTGTTAGCGTAATTTACGTATGACAGAATTTGGTGCGAAGCAATATGAAATGGTAGGTGTGGGGAAGCAGGCTTACATAGCCACACCAGCAGCCAGGGCAGCTTTGTTCGTTGCTGCTTCCGCGTATATTGCTACAATAGATGCTTCGACGGTTAGGCAGAAAACACATCCAGCTACACCGAAGATCATGAGCGGTCTGCGGCCGATTTTATCCATGAATGCAGCCCCAATTGCGTTGAAAACAATCCCGACCGATAGCCAGCCGCATTGGAGTTCAAGCTGTCGTTTTCTATACCAACGTATTAGCACCTCCCATTACCACGTTATCTCAGACGTTGGATAACTTACGTATCGAAACCCAGCGTAGCATAGAGCGTAGGGCCGTAATTGTTGATCACCAAGACACCAGTCGACTGACCAATGAAAGCGAAAATCATCGCCAACGCCGTCCTTTGTCGGTACCCCTTCTTCGTAAACATCGCCCACCACCCCGGATCCAACGTACGCTCAAGTCCCGTTTGCTTGAGCATCTGGTAGAACTCCCCTCTGGCAAACTCCTGCTCCGCATCGCCCTTGATACTATGTAACCTCATTACAATCTCCCTCGCCTCGTCCACTCTCCCTTTCAAGAGGAGATAACGGGGTGACTCTGGCACAAGGAAAGTAATGCAGATCATCATGATGGGCCAAATGAGCGCAGTATAAAGGGGTCCGCGCCATTTCGCGTCGCTAGAGGCAAAATAGAAGGCTATGCCCATGTAGCCTGCGATGGCGTAGCCAAGCGCAATGCTCACGCCGTTCATACCGACGAAGAAGCCGCGGAGGCCGGGTGGTGCGAGTTCGGCGCAGTATGTTGGTGCTAGACGGCGTTAGTCTCGAATTCTTTTCATACACTCTTCGATTGGATGGAAAAGGGCGGGTATACGTACTAACAGCCAAGAATCCCCAACTGCCCCATCCAGCAAAGAATCGCGCAATGATGAACATCTCTACATTGACGGCGCCCGCAAGTATAGCACCACCGAAAAGCGAGAAGATGGAACAATAAACCACGCCAGCTTTCCTGCCCCATCTATCCATGATGAAGGAGCTTGAGAGAATACCGAAGAGGGCACCGGCCTGAATGCTGTTAGTTTTATACATGTAAAAGTACCAAAATCTAACTTGTGATAGATATTGGTGGTTTACGGGTTCTCGTGCCTGAAAGATGCCATTGATTGTTCCAATGAGTGCATCAGTATTAGCATTTGGTTCGCCATTTGCATCGATGAGGCCCATGTATAGAAGAAAGGGCGGTTCACCCAGTGTAACGCCAATGACGGAAGCCGGATGACCAAAGGCTACTTGGCCCAGGGAGACTAGGGAGCATACTAGAAAGTTGTATGCATTGAATTGAGAACGCTTCGATGAATTATGTGTAATATCTGCTGTCATGTTGGATAAACGGAGTTACTGGTTAATCATTGGCGTACAGGAGGAAGTGGAAGAGATGCGCGCGATCTTAATGAAGATGAATATGTAGTGGCCGGCGGTACGTATGGAAAGTTTCGCTGTACGTCGGTCTAGACCTCCGAGACATGTTCGTCGAACCGACCGTGAACAGCCTGCTCCATGGAGTCAATGTGTTTTCCTGTATTCAAGGAGTTGCTACCGAGTGCTTCTTGTTGGTAGGGTTTAGTGACAGTGACGCGATTCAATGTACCTCTGCAGTCCGGAATATATTGCTACTTATGGGTTCTTCACTTCAAAAAGTGATATCTGGGGTACTGTTAGGGGTCGTGTAGATTTCTTTGAATATCTTGCTAGGTAGTCCATGTCTGGAATCAATGTAATCACAAACATCTCCGCTCTCAAAGTACTTTCATAGGCCAGCGATAGCTCAACTAGGGCGTAGGCGCTTTGGAAATCCTCTTAGTCCATGTCTAAGACTACGTAGCGCACGGGCTGCATTGGGACACGCAACGCAGGTTACTGTGGGTGGCACTGGCCAAAGAACTAATATCTGGCCCAGTGACACGGTAGCGGAAGCCAGGATTGCCAGGATGGGTGCTGAAAAACGTCTTCTTCGATAAGAAAAGCGTGAGACGACGTTGTTAGGAAGACTATGCTGACTCTTGGCGATTGACTCTCGCTTGGGTCGGGATTCTCCTCGGAACCTCCCGAAACTTATGTTTAACGCAACTATACAGACGGGGTGACGCAAACGTCACCACTGACGCGTTGAGGAATGTCAGAAAGACCACCAGAACCGCCGAAAGTAGAAGGTTGCGGTAGCGAGGATGTTCGCTACTAAGCGGCCATTCTTGCGGTGGGCGAGAGATAAAGTCTTCCTCGCGAGGCCCAATGTTGCGTTATCAGCCGTGCGCTACTGAGCGATCGATGCTAGTCAGTATAGATGAATTCCGCTGAAGAAGCAAACATACATGTGCATAGAGACAGAAGTAAGACAAAAATATAAGAATGGGGAGATGATAGCGTGTAGTTGCATGTAGCTTGTATAGGTTGATGTCCTACGTTGTAATCGTTCAAAACCTCAAGGTAGAAAAGCTCACCCGTCCATGCACCACCATGCACGACGATCTGCAGAGCCGAGCTGCTGCCGAAGGAACATTTACAAACCCCACAACTATATCTGACCGGAAACATGGTCAAAAGTTGGTCTGACAGTAATGATATAATTGTCGACCAGACTACGCTGTGGGTATAGAGCTATGCTGATGGAGACCTGAGACCGATAGAAAAGGCGATAATCGTCGTAGTAGGTCTAATTATAAAAAGATGTCGGGAATTGAATTTGTTAACGTCCAAGCGGATGAGCTCAGTATAGAGTACCCACGCTTAGCATAGGTACCTCTCCGACTTCCGTCGTACTGATCGTAAAGCATCCATCATGCGCCTCGTGGGCTGCTTGAAGGTCCCTTGTTGACGAGGCCAGAGAAAAATGACCTTAGTTTTTCGTTGTCCATGATATTAGAATCCTGTGCTTTGGGTGGTGGTGTTTTAGGCTCGTCTGTTCGGCTTGCTTGACGGTCCTATTTGAACAAATTAGCATCATGGAGGTGCTTCGACTAGTGGAGTCCCAATCACGGTCGACAGAGTGTAAAGAAATGCTTCCGACGAACCTGCAGTCGCTTGACCATCTCGTCAGCATTCACCTGAATGCCGCCCATATTGAACTGCACTGGCCCAATGTGTTCCTCGACGACTCCAGACGCATCGTCTGTATAGGCCCTAACGTTGGACGGGTCTTGTTCCTTTCGTGCAGCTTTGATGGCTGCCTCATTCGCATCTTCCTGTCGTAATTGCTCGAGAATATCGACTTGATCAGCAAGGAATGTTTGCGCGTCTTTACTCGCTATTTCAATGCCATTGGTGTGTCTCGAAACACTGGATAGCGGATAATCCGACTCGGGATTGCGTATGGTTTCCTCGTAGATGGAAGTCGCGGATGGTTCGTCCTGCTCTTCTTCCGTAACTGGGGTCGACTCGCCGGCTACTTGAGCATCATCTTCTACAGGCGTTGGAGCGCCTCCATTTGTCGGCCGCATGTGCCGAGGAATGTCGATATCCACACTCCATTTCTCGCTGATCCCCTCAATGTCAAACTTGTCGCGCAGTATTCGAATCTTTGCCCACGAATCCCAGTTTGGCGGTACGAGTACCCGGTCGCGGTCGGTTAAATTATGTCGTAGCTCCTCCTGCTTGAGGAGCGACTTGATGCCAAGGGTTGAGTGTATGAGTGTCCGTAATGACCCAGGTGCTGTGGGCATCGTGTATACTAGGCTCGATCCATGCTTGAGTAAAATGGTGCGCATGTACTGAAGTATGAAGTCGAACTCGGGCTCTTTCCAACCTCGCTCCTTTTCAAGACTCTCAATCTTGTCAGCGTTCTGACACACAACACACAGTGGTATGCCGAGCGGCTCATCCCACTCTCCGGGTCCTAGCGGTATTTTGACACTCTCCATGCTACTTCCTTCTGTGCCTAGGTTGCGCCCCTTATCCTGCAGTGTCTGGATGTTCTCCTCTAGGGCTACCTTGGAGGCATCATCGAGCGAAAGAATGAGTGACCTCAGCACTCGTATCCAGTCGCGAAGTTGCCTTATCCATAACCAGGGGTGATTCCAGTCGAGCAGAATGACTATTAGCATATGGGGGAGCGTGCGCGGGTTTAGGTAGGGCTTGATCAGGGGGGTGAAGGATGGCGAGGGGTTTGCGAGCAGGTAGAGCGAGAGGCGGGCGAGAGTGTCTGAGAATGTTAGCATGCTATCACGCGCGTTGTGGAGAGCTTCGATTCGATACCTTCGTGGTCGGTGTCAAGCACGTCTTGGTAAGTGTAGCCCAGCGCAAACTGATTAGCAATTGGCGGCTTCCTGCCTCGATCTGGCGGTCTTCGGTTGCCTGAGGCGTCTGTTGATAGCGAATCCAGGAACTCTCGCTGTGTTTCTGGTGTACCTCCTGAAGGCCTTCATTAGCCAGTTCTCCTTTATCTCCATGTAATGGCCTCACCCAAGACGAGCAGGCTCTTCTCTGGTAGTCGCTTGCCACTCGAGATGTTGTCTAGCATGGGCTTCCATATTTCCTCCTTGTCCGCGTCTCTACTGCCGGGGCGGTCGTGATTTGCCGTTGTCCGCGTGGGGAAATGGGAAGCTCGACGCGCGCTCATCGCGGAGGCGCTGCGGAGCTTCGACGCGCGCGAGTTGGCTGTTTCTGCTACTGCTACTCGCGTGGGGAGTGCTGTGAAGATGATTAGGCGCCGCAAGGGGTAAGCTCAATGCGACGGCCAGTGAATGTCTAGTGGGGCTGTTGCATTGTCTGGGACGCATGTATTGACGGGGAGCTTTTCTGCAGGGGTGCTGCTGGAACCCTGCCAAGACCGAGCTTCAAAAGTTATTGCGAAATAGCCGTTCGCAGAATACACCACGACACTCTCAAAACAATACGACCGGACTCCTTGCACACGAAAGACTACCGATAGACGTCGCGTCTACACCATGCAACACTAAAGAGCCGGACATTGAATTAAAGGGTCGGGAAAGAGCCTCGCGAGCTCTACCAGGACGCACCTTCGTGACCGACGTTCACTCCCCACCATTCTATCTACACCGTCCTCACCATGAACTCGGTGCGCGCGATCCAGCAGCTCAACAAGCGCGAGCTTGAAGCTGGCATCAACCCAGGAGGCTCATGGCACACCGACTACCGTGATACCGCCTTCGTCTACATTGGCGGCCTTGCCTTCGAGCTCTCAGAGGGTGACATCATCACCATATTTTCGCAGTACGGCGAGCCCGTCTGGATCAAACTCGCGCGCGACAAAGAAACGGGGAAGTCACGTGGATTTGCTTGGATCAAGTATGAGGACCAACGGAGTTGCGACCTGGCAGTGGACAATCTAGGTGGTTCGACCATTATGGACCGAGTCATCCGGGTTGACCATGCACGTTACAAGCCCAGGGACGACGAGGATATGAGGGACAATACCACGGGAGAGCTGGACATCGATCCTGGCAACGAGTCAGATGAGGCCAGGCGGAAGCGGAGGAAGACAGAAAGTGATAGTGAAGAGGATGAGGATAGGCCCTTGTTACCCGAAGAGATCGAATTGGGGCAACTGATGGAAAAGCTTGATGAGGACGATCCGATGCGAGATTCCATGATCAAGCGACAGCAAGAAAAGGTGGACGAGGCGCTCAAAAAGCTAAAGAAGAGCAAGCGTAAGGAAAGCGAGAGGGAGCGTAGAAAACACAGACATCGCCACAGAGATGGCTCAAAAGACCGAGATCGTGATCGAGACCGTAGACGCATCAAGAACGGAGAGGAAGACGGCCATCGAGAGCGACATTCACGGCGCAAGACAGACCGAAGCAGGAGTCGTAGTGAGAGCTTAGAAGATGACCGTCGTCGTCGAGATCGAAGCCGGGAACGACATGGTATGGACAAAAACAAACGCGATCGACACCGCGAACGGGCGCGTCGCAGCCCTAGCTCTGTCGACGAAGAGCAGGAACGCCCACGGTCGAAACGCTCCCCTTTACCTTATCGCGCTCGCTCTCCTCGTCGACATCGCGAGCCCGCTCATTCTCCTATATCTGAGCGTGAACCCCGTCGCAACAAGTCATAACGAAACTATGGGCCTATACACACATTAGTAGCAAATATCCTTCTTCAAACGGCTTTCAGATACCCCTCAGGCTCTAGCCAAGTTCTATCACTACACTACTTCCTCCACAGCAAATGTCATCAATCGAAGAGGGGGCACGATTACCCCGATGCACGCCAACCGTTCATCTTCTTCTACTGGTCTAGCTGAGGATAGCCACCAAGTACACATTAGTGTCACGCTTGGCGATTTGGACCCTACTTCCTCTATAAGCGTTGCTTTTTGCGGCTCACTACATTTCACTCTGGAAAAAAACAACTAGTCGGCATGCCTTGAGTTAGTTAGACTAATCCGGTTGTGCATCATGACAAAACTGTAACGATTTAGCGGCGCTTTAACGAGCCGTCCGGTTACATTTAGAACATTGATGGGTCTTGATCCACTTACAGAAGTAATGAATAGAAGAATAGTGACTGCAATGTAACGTGCATAAGAGGAGAGCGTGAGCACAGTAAGAAGTGACGTCATCGTTAGTTTGCCCAGTCGATACATGATGCAACAGTAACTACAAGTAACAACCCCTCAAATCCCAACCTCACTAAGATTTAGCAATTGAACAAGTCATTAACCCCACAGATCGCTTTAATAGAAGCAAACAATGGCCCACCTAACCCGAGAAGAAGTGCTGAAATCAGGAGAAGTCTCTCCGGAATACAGAAAGGTAATGAGGTCTCCTTACGATGCCCTCAAAGTAAGGCCCATACTTTTGGCTACTTTCCAACACCTCAAGCGCATTTTACAAGCATACAGTGACATTATAACTCACCAACACAACTGCAGGCCTTCGAAACACGGCCAGTGGAGATCAGTGGATCGGACTTCTTCGAGCAGCGCGCAGCGAGAGCCGCACACCTCGAGAAACTGCGCCATTTATACCCGATCCCAGGTCCTATCCCAGACTCCGTGGTCGAGACGATGCACGATGTGCCTACTAGAGATGGCTCGACTATCCGTGTGCGCGTCTACCAGCCCATCAAAGGGCCACCTGAGGGTGGAAGTGCGCTTATTATGATGTACCATGAGGGAGGCTGGAGTATGGGTGATCTTGTAAGATTCAGATTGCATTAACGTGGGATGAGATGCGTAGGCTTTCTAACAGCTGAGTAGACGGACGAAGATTTGAACTGCAGGATGTTTGCGCGGGACCTGGGAGCAGTTTGTGTCAATGTAGAGTATCGGTGAGCTGACCTCACTCTATTGTGTCGAAGGTGTTCCGTTGAACGACGTAGCTTACGAAACCAGCCTCGCCCCAGAGCACAAATTCCCCATCGGAGTCAACGACTGCTGGGATGCACTCAAGTGGGCTGTTACAAATAGCAACCAGCTAAGAGCCACTCCATCGTGCGGCCTAATTGTCGGTGGTGCATCAGCAGGCGGAAACATCGCAGCAGTCATTGCTCTCCTTTCCCGCGATGAGAAATTCCAACCTCCGATCACCGGTCAATATCTATGCGTTCCAGTACTACTCCCCGATACAAATGTTCCACCACATCTCCCCCACTTGTATGAATCCCGCACCAAAAGCATCAACGACCCTGTTCTAAAGGGCCTGCAACCCGGGATGATTGAAGCAATCTACGGGCCAGATGCAAAGTCTCCGTTGTGGGATCCATACAGTCATCCTCAGGGCCATGAAGGCGTCGGAAAAGCATTTTTCCAGGTTGGTGGTCTGGATCCGCTGCGTGACGAGGCGGTGTTGTATGATCGAGTGTTGAGGGAGAGTGGTGTTTTGACGAGGTTCGAGTTGTATAGTGGGTATGGACATATGTTCTGGACGAATTATCCTGAACTGGAAGCTAGCGTGGGCTTTGTTGAGGATACGTTAATCGGTGTGAAGTGGTTGCTTGAGAAGTAGGGCTGGGGCATGATGGAAGGACACCGATCAAATCTTACTGAAAGGTTGGGAAATGCTTGTTCTCGCAAGGTCAATACGTTGCGCTGAGTAAATGTATTACAAGTCCGAGTGATGATCACACAGCGCACTGAATAAGAGAACTACGCTTTCAGTCGATATCATGAACTGGATAAAATGCCTCATAATGCCCGTACCTCGCCTGCAAGCCTCGAGCAGATTCGGTGAACTTCTTGAGTCAGTTGTAGTTGTGAGCTGGACGTGCATTGAATAACCAATAAAGAAATCGAATGGATTCCGCATACGGAATAAAGGCTTCATATTCGAGTGCAAAGACATGGCCGCCTACAGTGCTTCTAAACTTTAGGGCATTACACCTCCACTTCCCAGAATCTGCTAGGGGTTTCTATTTAATGTGTACAGCAAAATACCGAGCTTAGTCCTAGTTCTCGAAGCGGCCAATATCTGCAAGACCTGCCCCAGCATGAATATGTGGTGTTCCATCTTGGTGCACTTTAAATCCGAGTTTTTGTAGCACTCTTGCAAGTGGACCCGCCGTTCCGTTTGCTCCCACATCGTCTTCGGCCTTGAGAACAGAAATGAGCCTTTGTAATGTTGGGGTAAGGTTCACATGCACGGCGGAAGAGTTCGAAGTGAACCGAGCGGTCGGCTGATTTGTTCTATATCTGAACATCTGTGCGGATGAAAGGTTTCTTGTGAAAGACATTGGCGTATCCTAATAGAAGAGAGGTATAAATTCCTCTCTTTTTTATCCCCAACCACGGTATATGGACGAGACTGCGCTAGCTGGTGATACATAAGACTGCCTCAGATATATCAATGAGGTAGTCCAGGGGTTGGTGTTACGGGATCTTCTGGGTATCACTCTTTAATACCATTAGCAAACTCTTGTATGTGAAGCTAAAAAAACGATACGGTATAATTAAGTAGGCAAGCCTAGAAGCAGGCTAGGTCCAGGAAACATGCAGAGTGTGATCGTAGTTAGCATCAGGGAACTCTAAGTCAGGCCGCTGTAGGGGTTGGTGCCAGGATTGTATATCACTTCCAAAAAGCTTAAGGCTCTTAAGTTGAGAGAGAAGAATAATTTGTAAAGCTCGGAAGCTCTCTTAAGTTGAGTGAAGTAAACTTTAACCAAAATCCTTACAGCATTAAAAGCAGAACCCGCTCACCACCTAGCACCAGGCATACATCCTACAGGTTAGGTAACTTATCATTATTATATAATAATCGTTTCAATCTTCTTTAACAATTCTCACATTCTGCTTAACTATAGCTGTGCTACAGTAATTCAAATTCTGCATAAGGTCAAGACAAAACTGCTATCTAGCTGCTTATATGACCACAAAGACTCGTTGGACAAGCTATAAAATAACACGAAGACGGTTCTGCAGTGCTGCCTCATCTTCCAAGCATTGCTGAAAGATTACTCTCCGTCCGAAGCTGTCCCTGAGGACTCTGTTCCATGGCAGGAGCTGTCCCCAAGGACTTTCTTCCAGCATTACAAGACATGACGAAGAGCGTCAAGTGGATCTACTGGCTATTCATCAGGCCGCGTTCTGTCCAGCTCTTACACACGCTGTCACGTGAATGCCAAGGATAGATGGTCAGTGCCGGGATCCCTATATCATTCATTCAGCAGATAGTTTAGTTCAGTAGAACCTATGAATACATAATCACCCCCCATATCCTACAGATTAGTAGCTAAAGCATTTAACTTTTCTCGCGCCTCTCACAATCCCGGTACAGCAAACCGCAGTTAAGAGGATTTTCAAAGCGCCTACGCCCTAGTTGAGCTATCGCTGGTTCTGTGAAAGTACTTTAAGTGCGGAAATGTTTGTAATTACATTAATTCTTCTAGGATAGGTTGAGAAGGTCGCTAACCATGGTTCCAAACCTCATTATCGTTCTCCTATGGTACCAAATATCGATTTTCTGATGAGTCTGATGCGAGTTTTGGTTGTACCCAACAGTTGCAAACCGCAGTTTGCGTGGCACCAAGATCGAGACGGCACTCTGGCCTCGTGTCGCCGGAAACCTCATACTTCACACCGCATGCTATCAACATGGACCACGAATTGGTCACTGAAGTCAAGAAATCAATTGCCGACTCGGAACAGCACTCGGCAACGATGGAATCACTCTTGCCACGAAATTGGAGCTTGCGCGGTCCCGCGGATAATTGCGAAACTAGGGCGACACCAGTAGATACCTCAATACAACTCATGTAAACTACCTTTGCAGCATACAGCGTGTTATTAGCAGCATCAGTGTTAGTCCTGAATCATCTGAATGGTATCACAGCTCGCTATCGTCTCCTCGTTCAGTCTTTTCAACTTGGAGCTTGATGGCTACAAAAACTTGTGCATTTTGTTTTGAATTGGAATCAGACAATTTCACCAACAGCGGGGGATTGTATCGGATCTTGGATTTTTTTCATTTTGTAGCAATGATTACATGGGTATACATGTTCCAATGTGGAAAGCGTGAATTGATACTATGTTCCTCTAGCTGTATTCTTAGGTAAAGACATTTTCGCACTGGGATAAAGAAAATCATCTATCAATATGAAAAGTGAATTACGCACATGGCTTTACAGTCACAAGGAGAAATGCAAAGTTAGATTGTAGCGAATGTTTAGTTCGATGCTACGTTGCTCTCTTAGAGCTAAATGCTACCCAAATCCAACCGCAGTCTTTCTCACTTTAGTGCACATTAGACCCTTGCTGCGCTGTTTCCTCGCGGCAACCTTTCCCTGACTGCCGGTGGTGCGCCTTGTGAGCCTTGGTAAGACTGACCACGAATTACACTTCCCCTTCTCGTACCAGGCACGGAACCGTCACCCACAAGCGAGTTTGCCCTGGAACCGTACAGGCCGGGTAGGCTGCTGACTCTTCGACCACCAGTCTCTTCACGGGCAGTATTTAGCTGCTGCGCAAATGGACTCCTCTTCCTCAACTCAGGACCCTTCCAGTAGATGACGTATACGGAAACGACTAGCAGTAGTGAGATAGCGAATAGAATCGTCGAAGCATATGCGAGATGAAACTTGCCGCCACTGCCGCCGATATTTTGGTAGAAGGGCGTAGCCGGCAGGGTTAGCACACCGGCAAGGAAATCTCGGGCCCATCCATTGCCACCAGTTGCTGATGCGGAGTATGGACCGTACGCGCAGATCATGTAGTCGATGGTAGCCATATAAATAGCGTAGTTGGCAATACCAATAATCGCAGATCCAACTAGCGAGCCCATCCAGTGAATTGGTGGGCCAGTCGAGGTCCATGCGAAAATAATCAGCCCAATAGGCAGGCACGGCGCAGTGAACAGCAGCCACCAAAGTCGCGCCTCATAGTTCGCCTGCTCGTCGCCAGGGCGTTCACGTCGAAGCCGATAGTTGCGCTTGATTGCTGGAAAGAACGAGAACCAAGCCAGGAGGTATCCGATGCCGATGGGGATGAACGCTAGACCAATCGAAAATGCTGCGAAATCCCACTGTTTGTATACAAGCGCATACGACTGAAGGAACATGAAGATGATAGCATCTGAGAATCCAGAGAGTAGAGACAAGACAAGCACGATGGGCTCAGTGAGGAACATGCGGAAGGGTCGGGTCCAGGTGATCATGATCTCACGCGCACTGAATCGCTCTTTGAAGGTCTTGAGTTCGTTCGGGCCCCAGATGTTGACAGGTTTGCCGTCCTTGTCCCCTGCGGTGCGTCGCTTCTTGGCAATGCGGTCCATCATGACAGTTGTGCGGGTTTCGGGAACGAGGATGATGTGGGCGAGCTGGACGGCGCAGCCGAAGATGAGCTGGATCCAGATGTTCCATCGCCAGGCTAGGAATTGTTCAACAAAGCCACCGACGATGGGACCGAATATGGAACCACCAACTGATGAGAACACGATAAATGCCTGAATTTGTGAGTTTAGGTTACCAAGTGGAGAAGGAATGTACGTACCACGGCGTATTGCTGATTATCCGGCTCGAAAAGGTCAGCCACAATCGCAAGAGTGACTGAACCACCGGCTGTGGAAATACCACCAAGAGCGCGACACACGATGATTGTCGCAAAGTTGGGCGCAATGCCCACAGGGATCTGCCAAATATTCACAAAGAACATACTGAGCTGGAGGATGGGCCACCTGCCGAGCTCTTCGCTCCAGGGCGCCCACAGCTCGCATCCAAACGCGTACGTGATCAAAAAGATGGCTGCACCGACACGCGCAGCCTGTGCGCTGACACCGAACTCGTGCGATATCCCGGTAACGGCATTGCTGTATAGCGAGGTGTTGAAGTTCATGCTGACTTGCACTAGGAAGATGACACCGAGAATCGACCACTTCTTCCATGTCGGGAAAGAAAAGCCGAGCTCGTCGTAGCAGTCTTCTTCGGTGATTTCGTAGCGGTCGTAGGTGCCGTACTTCTCATAGTGTTTTCTATCGTCCTCGCTCGTTGCAAGGCCCGAGGGGTCCTCAGCGTGGTGTGTATCGTTGTCGGAGGTAGAGGCGTCTTTCTTTTCCGCGTTGACAGCCTCGTTGTTGCGAACGGTGTTCGCATCGTGAATGTCGGGCTTGGGTTCTACCGCAGACGCCATGTTGGCAGAAGCGATGCGCTCGAATGGATTAAAGAAGGCAACACGGAGTGTTCTCCAAAGCTGACCCGCGGGGAAGGGCGGATAAGGATGCTGAAAGGATGCTGATCATCAATGAACGTCACGCCCACGCGCGGGTATGGGCTATCTTATAAACGGAAGCCCAGTGGATGTCGCCAGGCGCACAGTGCGGAATTGCACATATCACAAGGCTTTCTAACCGCGAGACGTCATCTTACAGCTCTTTCTGGCTTGGAGGATTCGACGCTACTGGTGTGATAGTGCTAGAGGACCGTTGCGATTCGTGCCGTAGCCTCTCAGATGAAGCAAGAAAGCTATTATTGTGGGTCGAAGCTAAGCAAATAGCGGGAGACATGCCCGGATGTGGCGCATCCATGGAGCGTTGCCGTGAGGTTGAAGATGGTGCCCTACGTCATGACGCCGTTCTCGTTCTTCAGGACGACTCCCTGTATCCAGTATCACGACGAGCATATCGACCATCTCAACGGATTTGTCGTATGTGAGACCCCCAAGACATTGCCTCGTTCCAAGGCCCTTAAGCCTCAATCAAGGCGTCCACAAGCACCGTCGATCCCGCGTGCCAAGCAGTGCCTCAATTCTTGGTTCGCTTGATCGACTTTGCAAAGCGCCATCGCTGACGTCACTCGCCTTCGCAACAAATCCTTCCCTTTCGCACCCCGTGAGCTTCCCACGGCAGCCAGACTCCTCAAATTCAATACCCGAAAGGCGCGAGTTTTCCTATGCGCCGAGAATGCGGCGACTCGACCATGAAACGGGCGGCGCACGCGATGTCACGATATCGTGGCAGTTAGGCGGTCGGGATACCCCATCCGGTCACTCCAAGACTGCGAAACTGACCCACATGTTACTTCGAGACGCGCCCTGGCCCCGCATAGTGACCAAAAAGGGTTCAAGAGATGCAAGTTTTGATGCCTCAAGAGCGCAGATTTTTTCTCTCGCGCTATTGAGCTCTGGGGACACTAGAAACTACTGCGCAGGCCCTGCGTATGGGAGAAACAACAGAGATGATATCGAGTCGTGGAGAGTAGGAAAAGGTCGAGTCAATGACTCGCTAGACTTCATTTCTCCATTTCAATTCCTCGCTGCTTTTTCGGCAACCGCATCGTAACTGCATCATCTTCTAGCACACATTACAATCCCGTGCCAAAAGCCTGGATTTACAGAGTTCGCTTTGAATAATCGAAACTGCTCCCCCACCCGGTCCTCGCGCCATCTATCACACCCCAGAGGCTTTCTATATTCTTCGAGCGGATGCCATGGACATCCAAATGCGTAGACCTCATTCAAGGTATCACACCATTATTCTCCGACCAAGATTGCCTTTCTCGACACATTTTCTACAATCATCACATCAGGTTGGGATTGACCTGTATTCGGATACAACGCTCACTTCTGTTGAAGGCTGCATTTCCCATTCAATGTTCATAGACTAAATCGCCACGCAGAGTACATTAGTACAGTAGATAACCGACCAAACGAGACTCCCAGAAGCCGGATGTAAAGAGATATAAGCCTTTGACAGCCGCTCGGCGTGCTAAGCTTCGCGGGCCGCTGCAGCCTGTATCCTTCAAGGCACTAGCGCTGCCATTCTCTGCTCATATACTACCTACGGTATTGGAAGGGCAAGAGACCTGGTGCTTGGACAGAGGCAATCAAGAAACTCGGCCGAGCAATGACGATAGATATCTCTACTACCTGCCATTACGCGAAGAGAAATGACAATAGGAGCGTCGCGGTCGGAATGATCAAAACGAGGTGAGAAATGACAGGCGGCCTTTTTAAGTTTTGTCGGGTCACACCATGAGCAACTGCATGTCGTCAAAAATCAGCGATTGGCCTAACAAACCCACTCTTTATTAATCATGAAGCAAAACACTTTAGATACACGCGACACTTTAAAAGGCCCCGGTAGAGGTAGGGGCCATACCAAGACATTTGACGGATAACTGCCGACAACCCCAACAACCACCTGCGGCATTTGACCTGTAGATCTAAGACGATTAAGATGGCTAGTTGATACACACAATTAATTCGCCATATCACCGGATAATCATCCCGGTAATGCTGGCGCAAGTTGATTCGCACCAAACCTGAATCATCCTGTTTCTCTTAATATCTACTCATCGCTTCCCCGCTTTCGAACATGGACGGCACGCGCTTTCTTATCTGGGGTGAACGAGAAAGCTAACAATCCTGATACGGTGATTCCAGAGCATATTCAAACTTAAAAGGATCCAGGGACACGGATACCGTTCCAAGTTTGACTTCCATCTGAAAACCTCTGGATTCCCTACTTTTAATACGCTCAAGATCAAGTCAGCCGGGAAGATGAAGTTTCTCTCCGCCGTTGCGTTCATCGCGCCTGTTCAGGCTGGCCTACGGTTTCCATGCTCGACCTTGACCTTCCAACGCCTTGACCCCGTCGTCGAGCCGGGCTCAAACCCGTCCGCCCATGTTCACCATATCGTCGGTGGAAACGCCTTCAACTCGTCCATGACGGGAGATGTTTCCACGAGAGCTACCTGCACTACTTGCCAAATGTCGGAGGACTTTTCCAACTACTGGACTGCTGTCTTGTACTTCAAGCATCCTACCAACGGCTCCTACCACCGTGTGCCGGTTCTTCCTGTCCAGCCCCTGTTGGGAGGATCAAACGGCGCAGAAGGTGGACTTACAGTCTACTATACCCAGTTCGACTTGATTAAGGACAACCTGAAGCAAAATGCGCCAATTAAAACCTTCCAACCAGTAATCTCACCAGATATTCCAACGTGTTTCATGATTCTGATATTCCATAGGGTTTCCGCATGACGGTGGGCAGCCCAACTGCAAGCTCCCGTCCGCATACCGGCCTACGCTACCAGTGCCTGACAGGCAATAACAGAGGCCCCGAGACGCCCGACTTCCCCACCAAGCCATGCTCAGGCGGTATCTTCGCTACTCAACACTTCCCCGCGTTAGTAAATAACCTTCCCATAGACTACGCTTGCTAATGGGAAGCAGATGCTGGGATGGCAAAAATCTTGATAGCCCCGACCACCAATCTCACATGTACAATACTATCCAGTCAGACGGATTCACGAACGCCCCTGCATGCCCGTCATCTCACCCGGTCCGCACCCCACAAGTAACCTATGAGACTACTTGGGATACGAGCAAGTTCAATAGCATGTGGCCTTCTGGTGCCCCCAATCCTTTTGTGTGGAGCTTCGAGGGCACTAGCGGGTTCGGTACCCACGCTGATTACATGTTTGGCTGGAAGGGCGATGCACTCCAGCGCGCTATGGATAAGTCCGAGTGCCGCTACGATGGCTGCGGTTCTATTACAAAGCAGGCTATGGCCACTGCCAACAAGTGCACCGTCAAGGACATGGTTGGCGAGGAGACTGTAGGATGTATGTTTTGACTCCATCAGACACCAAGAAGATGAATGCTAACGTGTAGTAGGGCTCTCAAAGCTTCCGGGTATGCTATAATTGGGCTAGCTTAGCTAGGGTTCGTTCGTGGTGGGCTTAATGGTGATTCTTTTGCGCAAATTAACGTACACGCTCGTTCGATTGACCTTGTGAGTCTTTTAGTTCAAATTAGATTGGTTACTAGCGAGTACTGTTTATTACACTTCTTTTTATAACTCGCTAGACTATATGTGACGCTTATTATGCTTACCTTTCGCTAACATGAAAGTTGATCCGTGCATGTGTAAAGTAAAAATAGCTTTCTATACTAAGAAGAAGGACGGATAAGACGATACGAGAGTGAGACTACTAGGTATAAGTACTAAGTAACATGTTACTACCTAGGAAGCACTTTTTAGGTAGCGAGGGTAACGTAGCGTGGTACTATCCGTATGTAGCATACTACTAATATTTTCTGTTAGTACGATTAACTGGATATGCATGCATTGTAGTTAAGCTTGGACTAAGTAATACAGATATTGGAAGCTAGCACCTCCCCTATACAAGGTATATAGTATCGCAGCATGCTAACTTATATTCTTAGCTTAATTAGGAATGCAGGGCAAGCGTTTTAGCTGTACTAACCTACAGACTATAGATTTCCCTATTGCTGTTCTTATATACTTCCCTTTTATGCGCAGTCACTCTTATTGCGCACAGATATACTAAGTGTATATTAAGTAATGTGCTGTTCTGCCTTTTAGTTTTTGCGGCAATAGATAACTTTTAAAAGTAAAGCTTCTACAAAAAAAGAATAAGTTATAAAGCTTAGAAGCTATCTGCAAATTATAAAAGCAGTATTATAATAAAATAAATAGTATAGTACTGCAACGCAAAACCTAGTAGCAGAATTATAAAATTAATTTTAGCTATTGTTACAATTACAGTAATACCCTGCCTCTTATAACCTACTTAGGCACAAAAGCACTAGGTAACTTAGCACTTAGCTAAATTATATATATTTTAGTAAGTCCTAGTAGTTATAGCGCGTTTTTAAATTACTAAAACTGTAAGAATTTATAAAACTAGAAGTAGCTAGCTCTAATAGAACGCAGGGTTAGTTCTTAAGGATAAGTATTATATAAATATAAAAAAAATACTAGCTTTTAAAAAGTAGCTTAGTTATAAGTATTATAAAGTAGAACAAAAATTGCTTTTATAATAATATATTACACAGGCAAGTTAGTTGCCCAGTTAAGTTAGTTATAATGCTAAAACTTTACTAAAATTAGTACTATGCACAATAGTATAATACTATAAAAAACTATAATAGTAAATTATAATAAACTAATTTATTTAAAAATTATTTTTACTTTTTGCTTGCATATTTACGCATTATACCTAGCTTTATTATAATATTTATAGCGCTTTTAAAAAAGCTTACCTGCTTTAATATATACCTGCTTTTTTACTTTTTTTTTATTACTACGCGCCTTAAACTTTTTTAAAATTATTAGTTAAAAACTATTTTTTATTATAAAAGTCCCTTTTTTTTATACTTACTTTTTTTTATATAATTTTTATTATATAGCAGCTTTATTAGCTGCTTAAAACTTAGCAATTTTTTTTTATACTAATATAAGCTTATGCGCGATTATAGCTGCACTTTTTAAATTTTTTTTAAAAGCTTTAACTATTAAAATAGAAAAACTATTTAAGTGCTTTTAAATTTTTGTTTTAACTAGTATTAATTAAAATTTAAATTCTAAAGTATTGCTTAGTATTTTTAACTTCTAAGGACTATTTTTAATAGTAAGTAGTAATAAAGTATATAACTAGATATTAAATTTTAATATTACAGTTTTAAAGTTAAAAAAAACTAAACTAGCGCTTTTAAAGCTACTTAAAATATTGCTTTTTATAATAATAGCATTAAAAGCTAGTTTAAAGCATAGTAAAAACTTAATTTTAGTAATATAGTTAATACTATTGCGTATTAGCTTTTTAGCTTAGTATTTATACGCTTTTTTTAAAAGCGCAAAATAATTTATATTAAGTAGCTATAGTAAGTGCGACAAATATAAAAATATATAAAAAATAATAATTTTCTATTCTTTGCAGTACTGCTAGAATTAGATTAATATATAGCTTTTATAACTATTAATAATAAGTAAATAATAAATATTAATAATTTTCTTTTTAATATACTTATTAAAGTGCTTTAACTACTTAAAAGTAAGCTTATTTATTATTTAGCTATTTTTAAAAACTGTAATAATTTAATTATAAAGCAGGCTATTTTTTTTATACTAGGCTAAAAAGTAGTTCTTGCCTGTAAAAATAATAAAAAGTAAAATAGCTTACTTTATTACATTAATATTTTAAATTACTATTATTTATTTTTAATTACTTTATTATACTATCTTTAGCTGTCCTTAATAATTAGTACTTAAAACAATAGTTTTATATAATGTATTACACAGGCGAGTCGGTCGCCTAGTTAAGTTAGTTATAATGCTAAAACTTTACTAAAATTAGTAGTTTTTTACTATTAAACGCGATGCCTTAATATAACAATATACAATTTTTTTAAAAAGAAAACTAAATATAGCTTATAGTTTAAGCTTTAAAATGCAATGTAAATTTTTCTTAATAAAAAGCTGCGCAGATTTACAGCGTCTTTTAAACAATACTTAGTAATTAACTAAAAGGAAAACTTCTATAATATAATACTAGGCCTAACAAAATAAGGCTTTCTTTAATAAAAAAAAAAGTAATTGCCTAGTATATACTTTACTTTAAAAACTAAGGATTTCTGCCCTAACTAGCTGCTATAAATAATATAGCTAATACTTTGCTAGCTAAATATAGGCAACTACTTATTAGCAGGAACTAGGCTAGCACATTTGTTAGACAATATCTATAGCTTAGTACTAAAACTTTTTAAAAGTACAACTACTAAAAAGCCTTATATAAAGATTTTAAGCTTATATAAGGCTAGTTCTAACTTGTAAAAAATATAAAAGCTAAGTATAATATTTAAAATAAAAATATATATAACTTTAATAAAATAAGCTTTATAATAGGCTAGATATTATATAAAATTATTGTTTTAAGTGCTAATTATTAAAAACAGCTAAAGATAGTGCAGCAAAGTAATTAAAAATAAGTAATAGTAATTTAAAGCATTAACATAATAAAGTAAGCTATTTTACTTTTTATTATTTTTACGGGCAAGAACTACTTCTTAGCTTAGTATAAAAAAAATAGCCTGCCCTATAATTAAGTTATTATAGTTTCTAAAAATAGCTAGATAATAAATAAGCTTACTTTTAAGTAGTTAAAGCACTTTAACAAGCATACTAAGGGGAAAGTTATTAGTACTTATTATCTATTTATTATTAACAGTTATAAGAGCTATATATTAGTCTAATTTTAGCAGTACTATAAAGAATAAAAAATTATTACTTTTTATATACCCCTGTATTTGTCGTACCTGCTATAGCTACTTAATATAAATTATTTTGCGCTTTTAAAAAAGGCGTATAAGTACTAAGCTAAAAAGCTAATACATAACAGCATTAACTATATTACTAAAATTAAGTTTTTACTGTGCTTTAAACTAGCTTTTAATGCTGCTATTATAAAAAGCAATATTCTAGGTAGCTTTAAAAGCGCTAGTCTAGTTCTTTTTAACTTTAAAACTATAATATTAAAGCTTAATATTTAGTTGCGTACTCTACTACTACTTACTATTAAAAACAGTCCTTAGGAGTTAAAAATACTAAGCAATACTTTAAAATTTAAGTTTTAATTAATGCTAGTTAAAACAAGAATTTAAAAGTACTTAAATAGTTTTTCTACTTTAATAATTAAGGCTTTTAAAAAAATTTTAAAAAGTGCAGCTATAGTCGCGCACAAATTTATATTAGCGCAGAAAAAAATTGCTAAGCTTTAAACAGCTAATAAAGCTATTATATAATAAAAATTGTATAAAAAAAAGCAAGTATAGAAAAAGGGGACTTTTATAGTAAAAAACAGTTTTTAACTAACAATTTTAAAAGAGTTTAAGGCGCGTAGTAATAAAAAGAAAGTAAAAAAGTAAGTATATACTAAAGCAGGTAAGCTTTCTTAAAGGCGCTATAAATACTATAGTAAAGCTAGGTATAACGCGTAAATATACAAGTAAAAAGTAAAAATAGTTTTTAAATAAATTAGCTTATTATAATTTACTGCTATAGTTTTTTATAGTACTGTACTGTTGTGCATAGTACTAATTTTAGTAGGGTTTTAGTATTATAACTAACTTAACTAGGTAACCGACTCGCCTGTATAATACATTAATATCTAGCCTATTATAAAGCTTGTTTTATTAAAATTATATATATTTTTATTTTAAATACTATATTTAGCTTTTATATTTTCTATAAGTTAGAACTAGCTTTATATAAGCTTAGGATCTTTATATAAAGCTTTTTAATAGTTATACTTTTAAAAAATCTTAGTACTAAGCTATAAATATTATCTAATAAATATACTAGCTTAATTCCTACTAATAAGTAATTGCTTATATTTAGCTAGCAAAATATTAGCTATATTATTTATAGCGGCTAGTTAGGGCAGAAATCTTTAGTTCTTAAAATAGAGTATATACTAAGCAATTACTTTTTTTTTTATTAAAAAAAGCTTTATTTTATTAGGCCTAGTATTATATTATAAAAGCTTTCCTTTTAATTAATTACTAAGTATTATTTAAAAAATGCTATAGATCTGCGCAGCTTTTTATTAAAAAAAATTTACATTGCATTTTAAAGCCTAAATTGCAAGCTGTATTTAATTTTCTTTTTAAAAAAATTATATGTTATTGTGTTAAAATATTACATTTAATAGTAAAAAACTACTAATTTTAGTAAAGTTTTAGCATTGTAACTAATTTAACTAGGCGACTAACTCGCCTGTGTAATACGTTATAAGTAAAATACTTTATTAAGTTAAATATAATATGCTATAAAGGCCTATTGTCTAAATTTATATATTTAGTACTATTTTTAAGTTTTATTGTTAAAGTTTATTTTAAGCATTTTAGTAGTTTAAAAACGCGCTATAATTACTAAAATTTACTAAAATATATATAATTTAGCTAAATACTAAGTTATTTAGTACTTTTATACCTAAATTAATTATAAAAGGCAGAGTATTACTATAATTATAATACTATTTTTTTTTTTTTACTTATATTTTTATAAGTATTGTTTTATTTTTTTATATAGCTAAGTATTATTATTGCCTTGCAGATTATATTAAGTATTTAAGTATTTTTATAATAATTATTTATTTTTTTTATACTAAATAATAGTTATTTTATAAACTATTATTATTATATAAAAAATATATAAATTATATTTATTCTAATACTGCGCAGTACAAGCTAAAAAGCCTACTTTTATTAAATTTTTTAAAAATTAATAAAAAAGTAAAAAAGTTAAAAAAATTTAAAAAAGCTAAAAAAGCGCGTTTGCGCATTAAAAAAGACTTAACTAAAGTAGTTTATTATATACTTAATAAGCGCAAAACAAGCTATTTTATTTTTATAATTAAAAAAAATTGCTTTAT